GTAAATCTAAAACGGTTTCTCGTAATGTTGCTTTTCTTAAAGCCTCAGATAAGTTTTCAGGATTCTTTGATAAGACAGGTGAAAGTAGAAACTTATTATAGTATAGTTTGGTGAGTCTTATTATATTCTGGTACATCGGTTGAATTAACGGTGTTACTCGGGAGGATAACTTGGTGCATTATCCAATAGTAACAACGCTTTTATTGGAAGCTTCTGTTGTTTTAGGAAACCTTTTACCTACCAATTGAAAACACATCTTCAAATTATGAATAGAGCATTTGTGATAATTGATTGTCATACCTGAGGGACAAAGCACCTGTGGAACCATTTCAGGAATATACTACTAGTCATCCAAGCGGTTTTTGAACAGTCATAATCAACAGGGATATTAACATTTTTAAATGAGCGCGGATTTTTTGCTTTCCCAATTACCAGTGGCTTTATTTTGTGTGAACCATTAGCATTAGTGCAGGCTAGAAACGTTATTCGTTGTTTCTCCGGCTTTCTTCCAAATGATGCAGCATAGGTTTTCTCTGGTAACATTTTCCAATAAAGGCCACTTTCATCTGCGTTGTAAATTGCTCCATTCTTAAATCTAGCTCGGTAATTGTTTTCATCAATTTTTCCTTGAATGGTTGCACTAATTGTGGTTGTGCTGATAATTTTTCACCAGATATAGACAGCAGTCGAATTCCATATCTTGTTTTGAATCGTTGTAGCCAGCAATCACTAGCTACGAAATGTTCAGTTTCTTTCAGTTTTTCATTTAACAGTTTCGCTCTCTGTTTAAGTACTTCACCACTAACTTGGACATGATTTTCCCGTTGTTTTAAAAACCACTTATACAGGGAATTTTCCATTTTATGTGCCTTCGCATTTTTTAAAGTTTTTCTTTTTCCCGGACCTCCAAATGTATTGCACGTTCTTTGTAAAATTTGAGTTTTCATACGCTCAATTTTACAGATTGTTGCTTTCGATACTCCATATTTGTTTGCTAACTGTGTCACTCCCGCGCCTAGTGCAACTTCGTCTATGATTTTCACTTTCTCACTCAACTTTAAACACTTTCTTTTATAGGATGTGGATGCCATAGTCGTAAAATATATTAACGCGTGCAATGTATTCACTTAAGTTCAAAAATGAAATACATACGTACGTATAAACGTATCCTAAACGATCATACGACTGACCGAGTTTGTCGTATTTTATCGCAGAGGTGAATCCCCTACACTCTACAGTATATTCAGATAAGAGATAGACCGGATGTAAACAAAAGGTTCGGGTGATTTTCACGCTAACGCCGCCGTCTCGACGTAAAACAGGAGCCCTCATTGGTCAATTCGCAATTAAATGCCTATGCCGAGCGGCAGAGCAGTCGTATCAAGGCAGAGTCACATTCAGGTTCAGACGTGTTACGTATGTCGTGTGCATCATTGCAATTTGATATTTCTTTGGACGTTTCCGTTTGTTATCTTATTAAGTTGTTGAGTTTGTCGTTGTTATTGTTATACCTTGTTATTGTTATCAACTGCTTGCGCAAAATGCCCAGTAGTACAGATACTGCCGATGAAGTTGTAAACTCCTGTAGTCCACCTAGGAAACGCTCTAAAAAAAGACACCTGAGTGCAGAAATGAAAGAGGTCATTTTGAATATATATAAGATCGAGCGCGAGGAGAACGAGGTATCAACCATCAAAGAAATTGTTGTGAAGGTTTCTCACAAAGTTGGGGTGTGTCGCGCATCAGTGTTTAATGTGTTAAGACAATACAAAAAAAATCACACCTTTTCTGAGCCAATGACCAGTAAACATCGCAAAAGTATTGTTAAATCATTGGATGAAGCTGATAAGCATGCGATTAGGAGGAAAGTGCATGAATTCTTCTTTAGGAATGAAATACCTACTATAGATAAAGTACTGCAGGAGGTAAATGGAGATACAACGTTGCCAAATTTCAAACGATCAACTTTCCATGCATTACTGAAGCATTTAAATTTCAAATGGAAAAAACGGGGTCGTAATAGTTTACTACTGGATAGAGAAGAAATTGTGCTATGGAGGAGGGATTATTTAACAAAAATTGGGAAATATAGAAATCAAAACAGAAAGATTTATTACCTTGATGAAACGTGGGTAAACGCAGGACACACTACAAGTAAAGTATGGGTTGATGATTCTGTAACTTCATCCAGGAGAGCCTTTCTAGATGGACTGTCCACCGGATTAAAAAATCCAGCAGGTAACAAGGTGGGAACAAGGTTCTAAACATTAATTCCAGGGGGCAGATAAAACATATTACAAGTAACAAAACTTTTATAACTTTCGATAAAATCCGTGGATGTTTTATTGTCATTTTCATTTGTTAGAACTTTTTTAAGACATGTTTTTATGTGTTTTCGATATTTCAATAATTTTTTAATATAATCTTAAAATATGTCGAATATTATAAACTTGAAAAAAGTTACTAAGTTTTATATTGTGTACCGTTCCTAATATTTCTAATCATTTTAATTCATACTTTAAGCTTTATAAAGTTATAATTTGTTAATATTAATATTTGCACGTATTTCAGGTTCCTGATCATTCATTTTTTAAAGGTTTATAACTTTAAATTAAATTGTGAAGCGCTGAGTAATCATACGACGTTCAATATTCTTTCTTTCAATATGACTAAATAATCCCAATTATAGCAATCTGATACTCATGTCTCAATGTTTTTTCGCTGAATGTGATGAAAACATTTGAAAAAGGTTAGCTTATTGAAATAAATCTACATCAGTTAGTACTTCGATTTCCAGGTAAAGGGAAAAGGCTCATTATCTGCCATATTGGCAGTGAGGATGGATTTGTTGTTGACGGTCTGTGGTGCTTTGAGTCTAAGAAAACTGGAGATTACCACGAGGAAATGAATGGCGAATCGTTTGAACAGTGGTTTTCAAAAATTTTACCGAACTTAGAGGAAAACGCAGTAATTGTGTTGGATAATGCGCCTTATCATTCTCGAAGAATGGAGAAGGTCCCAACAACGGCTTCAAGGAAAGTTGATGTTCAAAATTGGCTCCGCTCGAAAAATATCAACTTTGAAGAAGCAATGCTGAAAGTACAATTATTAAGAATTGTCAAGGATCACAAGGCGGAATATCAAAAATACGCCATTGACGAAATGGCAGCAAGTCAAAATAAAACTGTGCTCCGTTTACCTCCATACCATTGCGAGCTCAATCCCATTGAGCTCATATGGGCAGAGGTTAAAAATTATATAGCTAAGCACAATACAACTTTTAAATTTTGTGACCTCAAAGGACTTTTCAAAGAAGCACTAGAATTAATAACAGCGCAAAAATGGGAAAACTGTATTAAGCACGTGAAAGACAAAGTTGAAAAGAGAATGTGGGAACTGGACAATATTTTAGAGGAACAAGTCGAGCCATTCATTATTGACGTTGGTGCTTCAGGCAGTAGCGATGATGAAAGCTCATCAAGCTCATCTTTCCAATAAAAGATGTCGTTCATCAAATTCGGTAAGTTATAAGTAATTATAAAGCTACTGTATTTTTTAATTAATTATTGACATTTTTGAACCCATTTTGGCAAAACCTATTCAAGAATCTACTTTCTGACAATGTTCAACCATGCACATTTTTTTACGTTTTGAACGTTTTAATTTGGTTACATATTTACCTAGAAATCAAAAAATATACTAATCAATATTCTAAAAGCAATTTTAAGAGATATACGATTATTTTTAATTTAGGCTAATTTAAACGCCATTTTGAGATTATATTCGACTGTATTTCACCAAACATCAGGCGGCATCCGAAGCTGGAAATCGAAGCGAAAATTTTGAAACCCTTATGTATATTTACATCATTATATATTTCTTACCCCACCCCCACATGATCCTATATCCATCACCAATCGTATACACATCGAATTGTGCTAATTTACTACAAAGTTACGCAAAGCAGCATCTACTATCTAAAATATGTACTGCGTGACTCTTAATACGTCCCTGCCGAATGTTACAGCGTTCGATGATCACGTGGTCTTGTTTATGTCCGGTCTATCTCTTATCTGAATATACTGTACATCATAAATCGGGGACTCCCCGACGCCCGACATAGATCATCGAGGCTTCAGCATTTTACCGTCGCGCTGTTTCCGTGCGCCGAGAGTTGTTTACGTTATCGAGCGTACACATTGTTTACGTTATCGCGCGTTCCGTTTGATCCTATAGAACGAAGTTTGTGTTTACGTTAGCGCAAATTTTCATTATCCCGTGTTTACGTTATCGAGCGTCTGCTGTATTTCAGATTCATATTCAAGGGACAGCTCTTCCAATACATATATTATACATATATTGTGCCTCTCGCTAAGGTAATGAAAGCAGATCTGGCATACCTTAAGGAAAAAGGTGACATTTCTGTCTGTATTTAATTCTGTTCGGTTATACTGATAAATACAGCCTTGATAATATCCGCATTTTTTAATCAATTACACACAAAAGCTACTCAACCTCAATCTAAATTGGTTACTTTTAAGCCTAGTATTCAATTGGGAAAGGAAGTTTCTTTACTTGAGCGGAAGAGGCAAAAATCATTAAGGGCAATATGGACAGCAACCGAGACAGAGACCAAGACTTTGCGGTATGCATTGGGAACTTGGTGTCAGCTTGTCTTGCACTTCGTTGCAGCTGACTATACACTAAAGAGTGAAATTTCTTGCCCTGTAATATTCTCAAGCGAATTTTAACGCTACTAACAAAAGTCTCATGGTTTTTTTTTCACCCGAGGAGAGGATCATGCATGTCAATCATCTGGAAGTACTGGCAGAGCTTTCTTTGGTCGTGAAACGCTTTGCGACGACTTGAAGGGCTGTAGAATATTATACCCCATTGATAATGCGACAACTAGATACTACATCAATAGAATGGGGAGCTTAATCAATAATTCCATACGAAAACAGGAAAAAAAGGTACGCTACATACACTACGATACATACCTAATATCGAATGAGTTTTCGTAAATTGGTGTAGGCTGTTCAGTGGCTGCAACCACAGGCTGTTGTTGATTGAAATTAGGTGTCCGTATGAAACCGTAAAACTCCTCCTGTTCAGGTGTTTGTGTTTCAGGTTTTGAGGTGGTTGTGGTAGTGCTAGATGTAGGTCTGGTAGTAAAATATGTTATGTTAAAAGATTAATATTTACATGCAGTGTACTGAATGATATTGTGACGTTTCAAAGGTACTGTTAAAGCATCTTTGCGGAAGAAGTCTGTTTGATGATAGTTTCATGGGATGCGCAGGATACGAGAGGTTAATGTGAAAAAATGATTTATAAGAAATAGTTTTCAAGGAGGGCAAAACAATAGTTTGTACTTGGTAGTTTTTCAAAACATTATTATCTAAGCAAAAATGTCAAAAAGTGACAAAAATGAACTAAATATCTACATTTTTGAAGCTATTAGATTACTTGCTATCCAGAACTTTTAAAATTAATGCATAAAGTCTATATAAACATGGGTCGAAAAATGCGTGGCTTCCGAAATACAGGGTGTTTAAATTTACTTTCTAAAATAGTTTTTTTTACATATTTCGAACAATATTTGATGTATAACAGTGAAAATTGGTATACAAGGGTTTTTTGGTACGACAAAACGAACCATGGGCATAGTTTTACTCTAGCCGCTAGATGGCGCTCTCTACTGTACCTGTAGTGTATTAAAATGACCAAAATTTTTTTCTTAGTGCAATTTTTTGCTTTCTGAATGAAAAAACTGATTCTTCGCACTTTTCAACATAAAAAAGCTAATTTGTGAATTTTCGTTATAGTTAGCCGTTTTTGAGATATTTCGATTTTTAAGGTTCGATGCATTTTTAATTATTTATGATAAAATAACGTTAAAAAGTTAGTATCTCGATAATTTTTAGAAGTAGGCTGTGCCTGCAAATATTTTTGAAATTGAAAGCAGAATAAGGTTAAACGTCAATTAGTTGACAGTTAGTTTTGTTGTCTGTTGAAACCTGAAACGTTTTTTTGCGATTGTGAATGCACGAAATTTACTTTCTTTTACCTGTTTTTTTTTGAAAGTTTCATAAAAATGCCATTTTTGTTCTCCAATCAAGAGTTAGCGGATATTCATTTTGTGTATGGTTTTGTAAATGGAAACGCAGCAGAAGCAGCCAGAGAATACGCACGAAGATTTCCAAACAGACGACATCCAACTCGCTCAGTATTTTTCAGAGTGCATCGCCAAATAATTGAAAATGGTTTTGGAAATCTCCAAAGGGATCAAAACATAAATGTTCGTCAGCGCAGATTTACCCGTATGATTCTGCGTGAGTTTGATAGAGATCCGACCACAAGTGTTAGGAGAGTTTCTGGTGCCTTGGGAATTTCAGCAAGCCATGTTCACCGTGTTCTTAGAAATGACCATAGACGTCCTTACCATTTGCAACCTGTACAAGGACTACAGCCAGGGGACGGAGAACGCAGAATCACATTTTGTCAGTGGATTCTTGATAAAACTGATAATAATAGGGAGTTTTTAAGTAACGTTTTATGGACCGATGAGTCATGCTTCACTAGACGTGGAGTGGTAAATTTTCATAATCAACATATTTGGTTGCATGAAAATCCGCATGCAGTTCGGGAAAGAAATTTTCAGCATGAATTTAGTGTGAACGTGTGGATTGGTATCTACCGTAATCGACTATTTGGACCCTACCTTTGCCTGCAAGGTTAAATGCTGCGACCTTCTTGGAATTTTTAAAGGCTGAACATGCAAATATGTGGGATGATGTTATGTTAGATTTAAGAAGATTGGCCTGGTTCCAGCTTGATGGTTGTCCAGCTCATTATTCGACAATAGTTAGAAACTGGCTGGACGAAAATTATCCAGAAAGATGGATCGGCCGTGGAGGACCAGTCGCCTGGCCTCCACGATCCCCTGACCTAAATCCATTAGATTTCTTTGTGTGGGGGTTTCTAAAAGAAAAAGTGTACCAGACACCCGTAACCACAAGAGATATGCTAATAGACAGAATCAGGGATGCATGTGATGAAATAAGGCCTTATTTGAATAATGCTATACCACGTTCGATCATTCGTAAATGTGAATTGTGTTTTGAACAATTGGGTTTACATTTCGAGCAACTACTTTAGATGTTGTATGTTTGTCCTAACTATCCAATAGCATCCAATATTCATTTAATTTGTTAAAAATAATATTGGAAAATTAAACAAATTAATATTCTGTTTTTTTGTGTTTATTTGGAGTTAGGAATTATTGATGTGTTTAAAAACACAATCTAAACGACCATCTTAATTACTTGTAATGCCCAAATCGAAAATGTAAAAAAAATATTATTTTCCCATAAATAATTAAAAATGCAACGAACCCTAAAAATCGAAATATTTCAAAAACGGCCAACTATAACGAAAACTCACAGGAGAGCTTTTTTATGTTGAAAAGTGCGAAGAATCAGTTGTTTTATTCAAAAAGCAAAAAATTGTACCAAGAAAAATTTTTCGGTCATTTTAATACACTACAGGTACAGTAGAGAGCGCCCTCTAGCGGCTACAGTAAAACTATGCCCATGGTTCGTTTTGTCGTACCAAAAAACCCTTGTATACCAATTTTCACTGTTATACATCAAATATTGTTCGAAACATTTAAAAAAACTATTTTATAAAGTAATTTTAAACACCCTGTATTTCGGAAGCCACGTATTTTTCGACCCATGTTTATATAGACTTTATGCATTAATTTTAAAAGTTCTATCGAATCTTAAAGTTATGCAACAATAAACTGAAACACCCTGTATAGTATGTCGTATAAGACAGCAAATACAAAGTCGATACGACGTGTGTATGATGTGGATATGACGGCTATATGACGTCGATATGACAAATTGAGGATGCGACAATGACGCCCCACAAGCAGGGAGCTCAGGCGTGGTAGAAAGGCATCGAAACTCATATTCTTCGTATCTACCACCCTTGAACCCGAGACTTCGTTCTCACCTCCGGAAATTTTCAGGAGCACAAAGTGGTTAATAAAGAACTAAAAAGATACCGTTTGATCGCAAACACGTTTCTGTCCTCCGACCGTTTAGAATCTGTTTATAGCAATTTGACATGCTGCACTGCTTTTTCTTCCTTATTGACTATGTGGCAATACTATATTGTACCACAGTATAGGTATGTTAAAGATGACAAAGTCATCGTGGTGTCGGCCAAACCCACAGATTTATAAAAACAAAATGACCAAGCAAGATATTTTTGGTCCAAGAATTCCTAATACTTTTTATACATAACAATAAAGTAGTTATTAGTATTTGGGCATCTAGTTTACTTTACTGTTCATTAATAATATTTTCTTTGTAGGTAAGAAGTGTTGATTTTTCAGTACTGACTGGCCTAAAAATGACAGCCATTTGTAGTCATAAAAATGGCGTCAATAAAGTACATTTCTTAGTGAATGACGTTTCCGATTAAAAATCACCGAATAATGACGTCAGCATGTTCACTGGGTCACGTTTGATAAGAAGCATGACTTTCAGGATTTTCGTGTTTTTGACATAAAAGTAATGTTCTTCAGTCGGTTCAATAGACTATAATACATTTTGTGTCTGCTCTGAAAGCTGACCTAAGGTGAATAGAAAAGCGTGATTTTTTTAATTATATTGTATTGACCAGTAGGTACTGATTCTATGTGACGTGCCCTCGGCACAAATTTCGCGAATGAGAAGGCGTCTTTGAATATGGTCGATTTCTTGTAAAATGTCTTTTAAACTGGAGAACAATTATACGATTTGCGTAAGATGGACTCCTAATTCTCACATTAAATCAAGAATTGATTCACCTATCACATGATTCAGCTACAAAAGCTGTGTCTCCGGCAGGCGTATTATGGGGTTGTCCAAAACGCACGCAGGAAAGTAAACGCATATTAAAACAAGAAAGGTTGATATTCAAATCAAGTTGGGTACTTTATTTTGAAGGTTCATTTATACCATTTATGTATGAAAAATAATATAGCTCAAATGTTCACCACGACTGGATTTACAGACGTCCACGCGATGGTCGAAATTTTCGATGACATTTTGCAACATGGTCGGTTCTATGGCATTTATCTCGGCAATGATGTTGTTTTTGAGTTCTTGGAGGGTGGCTGGTTTGTTGACGTAGACTTTGCTTTTCAAATATCCCCATAAAAAGAAGTCCAAGGGAGTCAAATCGCACGATCTTGGTGGCCACGGCACATTTCCTCTGCGCGAAATCACGCGATCACCGAAGAAGGACTGCAATCGATGGATATTGACGTTGGTTGTGTGGCATGTTGCACCGTCTTGTTGGAAATAAAGATCGTCCATATCCATTCCTTCAAGTTGCGGTAAAAAATAGTCCTCTATCATCACGTGATATCGCTCAGAATTGACGGTAACGGCGTCCCCGGCCGCATTTTCGAAAAAGTAAGGCCCGATGATGCCTTTTGACCACAATGCACACCACACAGTCACTTTTTGAGGATGCATCGGCTGCTCTTGATACTCACGGGGATTTTCGTTCGCCCAGATGCGGCAGTTTTGCTTGTTTACCGTCCCATTCAAAGTGAAATGCGCTTCGTCGCTGAACATGATTTTTGATGAAAAATTGGCATCAATTTGGCGGTGTTCAAGGAGCCAATCTGAGAACGTTCGGCGCGAAAAATGGTCGGCCCGACGCAGCTCTTGCATCAGTTGGATCTTGTAGGCGTGTACATTCAAATCCTTGTGGAGAATGCGGAGCAAACTGGTTCTCGAAATGCCCAATTCTTGGGATCGACGCGTTGTTGATTATTTCGGATCGTCTCTCACACTCTCCTTCACAACAGCAATATTTTCCGGTGTGCGAACGCTCCTTGGCCGGCCAGAGCCTGGCAGATTTGCCACGGAACCTGTTGCCTCGAATTTACGCACCAGACAACCGATGGTTGTTTCGTTTGGGCGGTTGTTGCGACCGAAATGTTCACGAAGCGCGCGAAACGTGTTTTTTATTTTTGCACCATTTTCAATGGTAAACATTCAACTAACAAAATGACATGTCGGTGACAGAAAACAAAGATGGCGTCTATGCCAAATTGACGTTTACTTTCCTGCGTCCCTATTGGACAACCCTTGAATCTACATGAAAACTTAATGTTAGTGTGCTTAATAAACTGTGGTCCAAATGTTTCCTTACAAAAGCTCGGGGTGTTGAAGCTTTAGGGAAAAAATGGAAATTAATTATTATTTTCGGAACCGCGTCAGATATTTCACTTATATTTAGTACGTAGTGAAAGTTAATAGAGTTGCATATTTTTCAATGCAAAAATAATTTTTAGCTTTAACAGTGGCGCGCGTATTGACTTGAAAAAATGGTACGTCAATGGTTTTTTGCCGAATAAAAATTATTTTTGAATTTCCCGTTCAATTTAAAACAAATGATCTCTCCTGAATTGTTTTCTTTCGATGCGCCGTTTTTGAGTAAAAAAATAAAAACGGTTCTATTGTCTAACTTGCAAAATTATTATTAATTTAATTTGAAAAATTAAACACATTAGGGGTAATGAACAACAACAACAACTGACAACATAAACATAACATTAAAACCAACGAAATGATTACAAAAATTGTTGAAAATGGCCCCCTTCACATAGTATGCATGCTTCCGCCCTCCTTGTCATGGAATTGCGCACTCGTTGAAATATCCCTGGAGTGTTTTTTATTCTATCTCAAGCTCAACTATTCTTTCTCTTAATTCCTCTACAGTGTTAATGAGACTTGTGTACGAGGGATGTCTTTTAAGTTTTGCATATAGAAGCATAGTAGGCCGCGCGGATCGAACGTCAGTACTGAATCTTAACCTCACCCTTTAGTGAACTTAAATTCAAAGTTTCACAACAAAAAATTCCGGAACCTCGAACAATGTGTACAGCATTGTTAGTGGTGATGATACGTGGATTTACTGTCATGAACCAGAAAATAAACGACAGTCGGCTGTTTGTGTGTTCCAAAGTGAAGAAAAGCCAACAAAAGTCATCCGTTCTCGAAGTGTTTCGAAAAGAATGGTCACGATATTTGTGTCAAAAGCGGGTCATATTGCAATAGTTCCTCGTAATGAGCAAAGAACTGTTACTGCGGATTGGTATACCACCATTTGTTTGCCAAAAGTCACCACCTAGCTTCCCCGAAAGAAGAATCATCCTCCACCAAGACAATGCAAGCTCGCACACAGCCTAAAAAACAAGGCAGTATTTAACGGAAGAAAACGTGGAATTATTGGACTATGATCCATATCGTCGGCTTTCTCACCAAGTGTCCTAACCAACGTTTAGTACATTTTACAGGAGAGCAAGAAAACGAAATCGGCGTGTTGGTGATTGAGCATTGTATATAAAGTTTAGATATTTCCGAATTGAAAATTTCACTGTATCATACCACATCCATAGTCGATCATATGCTGTTTCAATACTTGCGGTAGCTTATTAAGTTACTTTGTAAAAAATTGGAAAACGCACGCAGGTCACTTCTTGAGTATTTTCAGAAGCTCGTTGTCAGAACTGAAATGTATTTTTATATATATATATATTTTTCTTACCGTGAACTCTATTTAGTATTTTGCCCTTTATCAGTTTACCGTGTGGACAACATTCTTAAATCTTTTGAAAGTTTCTTGCAGTCAAAAAATGTATTGGGATTGCTAAATAAGGTTGACGTTTTCTTCAATCGAAAAACCGGATAGAGTTGTCAAGGTTCAAAAAGATCTCCAGCTCCCTTTATCGCAGTATGAATTGCACTGTGGGCAGAGTCTCCCTCACTTTGACCAGTATTCGACCACCGGGGTGCGTATACTAACAAGGATTATTGCACAAGAGACCTATCTTCAGTTTCGTCTCTTCGTGGGAATTATATATTTACCTCTGCAGATAAGACACCCAGGGGTTAATGGTGTGTTGCCTACACTAATAGATATATCGTTATGCCTCTTCGTCAGATTAACAGGCATGGAGTAATACACCTATATGCTGGTTATCTCAATTTTTGGCATTTTGTCAGTTAGGACACTTCGAGAGAAAGGCGACGATATAGTCCCGATCTAAGTCCTAACGATTTATTTACTTTCGCGAAAATTAAAAACAGACTGCGTGATCAAAGGTTCCAGTCACCAGAAGAAGCAGTTGTCGCATTCAAAAATGCCGTTTTGGATCTGCCAGCAAACGAGTGGTATAAGTGCTTCGAAAATTGGTTCCAGCGCATGCAGATGTGTATTAATTTTCGTGGAGAATACCTCGAAAAACAATAAAGTCGTTTAAAACTACCTACCGTGTTGTTTCGTTTCCATATGCAAAACTTAAAAGACATCCCTCGTATCTTGAGAAGTGACATTATGTCCCTTTTTTTGACAGGTTTTATTTTGTGACAATATGTAGGTTTTTCTAGAAGATTCAGCTATCAATGTTTGGCTCTGATGTGATGTAACATCTGCTTCAGAGATGGTATTATTGGAGGTCTATTTTGATCCACCTTTTTTTTCAATAGAATAGTAGAATATTTCCTTTTAGGTATCCAGATAGCCCAGTTTCACGCCCCTGGGAAACTGAGTGTGTTAATTGCTGATGACTTGCTCACTGAACGTCTAAAATCTCAACTCGGTACCTTTACCCGCTCCGTAGATATATTTTTCAATTTCCTAAATAAAACTTCATCACCATGTATCTCGGTAGGGGAGCATCTTTGGTCAAATATTTATAGGAACTTTTTTGTTGTTGTTTTTGTATGTACTTTTTACCCTAGAAAAATTGGCAAGTCTTTCTGAAACACCCTGTATATTTTTGTGGTGGCTAAGGTCATGAAGCATCAAGTGACTGTCTAATACCGGGTGTTAATCATGCACCATACATTCAAAAGACGATTCTTTGAGTAATTTTGAAAAAAAAGTTTATACAAAGATAGGTATGTAAATTTTTCGTTCTCAAGATACAGGGTGTTAAAATCGGTTCAGATTCAGCTCGAGACGCCACTGGATTTTATCAATATAATCAAGTTAGGGCTAAATTAGCTCCTTAATGTTATAAATACACTGGACAACAAATTTTAGTTTTTTAATTGTATCTTGTGGGAAAAGTGCACTACTTTGTGAATTTTGGGGCGCTGAATCCAAAAATGACAATGAAATAAAAAAATTAGTTGCGGTTTAGAAAAAAAACTTTTTATGAGATGGTAAAATATTTCCATTCTTCTGGGTTATAGTTTATATTTAAAGCCGCCAGTAAGCCGTTAATGTTACTGCAGAAAACCAAGTTATTCTTTCTCCATATTGAAAAATTGTTCTAAGTCTTTGTGGCGTTTACGAAAATCACATACCGAAACATCGTCTTTTAACAAGTTCCACTGCTGCAGTCTTGATCCAAGTAACTCTGCCTTACATTGTGGAAGTTCTAAATCTCTTACAAGATCATTTAATTCTGACTGTGTTATTTTGTGTGGTTGGTGGCATGACGTGCTCGGTATAAAATCAGGATCTCTTGACGTTGATGGCATATCTTCTTCCTGACGAATCACTCGATCGCCATGATCTGATTCGTTTTCTGATTCGCAAGTGTAGGATTCTGGGGGTTTTGGAATAGGATTTTCGTCACTGTGAGGCACAGGTCTCATCGCAGATGGTATATTTGGGTAGTTAATAACAGATTTTTTTTTCTTGGACATACCTGTGGCTTGTCCAACACAAGGTACCATGCAATAGTAACAATCATTAATATGATTTGTAGGCTCTCTCCAAACCATTGGGACAGCAAAGCGCATAGACCGTTTTGCCATTTAACCAGCTCCTCAGACTTGAAGCACATGTATTACAGCAGATGTGGGGTGCCCACTGTTTGTCTTGATCACCTAGTTTACAACCGAAATAAAGCTGATATGCCTTTGTTATTAGACGCAAAAGTCACATCACCACACACGTAACAAAACTGATCTGGATTGTTTACACACTTTTGAGACATCTTGCATGAACGCTGTCAGCCAACTGAGGAAAAAATGGCTTTAAAAAACAATATAATGTACACGTATGTATAACGTAACACAATCATGCCGATTACATCATCTTTCCTTGCCGAATATAAAAATGTAGCACGTGCATTCTTGTGAATTACGGTATATTAACATTGTCACAGCAGGAACACATATAATTACCGTATCTCTAAAACTAGAACTAATATTGAAAAAATAAGTTTCATTCCGGTTTTAGCACGTTAAAAATAGTAATATCTTGTTGATTTTATTTAGGATATTTTTTGGCTGTTGATCAGTGATACCAACACGAAATTACAACAAAATTAGGTAGTAGGATTTTTAAGATATTCATGAAAAACTATTTTTTTAAATTTCAATCTTGAGAACAATGAATTTGCAGACCTATGTTTATATGAACTTTTTATCTTAAAATTTCTCAAAGAATCGTCGGCTAAATAGCACACTGTATATAATTTCAAATCTGTCTTTTCTAATATTGATGGTTATAATGTTAAAAAAAAAATCGCCCAAGTTTAAAACTGCTATCGTAACACTTTTAAGCTCTGACAGGCTTCACAAAAATATAGAGTATCCTTACTGTCTGATGTCAGGTAACGGTGTGGTAGTCGTGAACCTTGACCTTCCTCTTCCTCTGCTTCTGACCCCTGTTTTTGTTGTCACCTCGATTTTGTTCCGTTGGAAGTGGTTCTGCGATTGAGCCGGCTGTTGTTGGTGGGTCAATTCGGTGATACGTCTCTCACCTGCAACTACGAATGAAAAATAAAACTTAGAGTAGATGAGATAGATGGATAATCATAAAAGAAACTATAGTTTGCTTATGGTATTTATCAGAGTTCATAATTATTGATGAGTTATTGAAGATAGTAATTCAGGGGGACAGAAATAAACCGCACACTGAAACTGTAACTAAAAGGAACCGTAATGAAGGAAATAAGTGTTCCGAAACCTCGGCTCGCTCAGGAACAACGAGCTTGCTCCGAAAAGATTGTTATTCTTCTCTTAGGCCCTCCCCCTCCAAAATGAGGGATTCGCAAGCAGAATCGCAAAGATTTTCGCTTGTAAAATAGTGGTGTATCCGCCGACAGGTTGTTCTAGAGCCCACTTCAGCGATCGAGCCGTCCATCTACCAGAGCTACCCACTCCCTTCGGAAACCTTCGAGTTTGGTCTTAGTTGTGTCGGTTCCAACCAAACCAGAGAGCCGTACAAGAGAGATGGAAGTACTATCGTCGTATACAGCCAGTGCACTACTTTGGGCTTAAGCCCCCACCTCACTGCGACAACACGTCTGCAAGCCCACAATGAATTGCGAGCCTTGTTAACCTTGTACTCAACATACTCTCTAATTCGGTTTGCAGTCCAGGATAATTCCTAGATATTTTACTGATTGGGTTAGAACTAGTCTAGTCATAAAAAAGGTCGGCAAGACAAGCCCATTAATCTTCCTTCTCCTATACTACAACTATTTAAAACTGTAATGACTCATACGCGTGATCAACACGTGATCAGAGCTCGATCCCGGCTTCCTTCCAGTACAGCCGTATAGCGTACGACATATGTCGTTTCTGTGGCTTTGCGGTGGTCAACAGCACAGACAGAGATGGAAATAATGGCTGATTGTTCTCCGCCGGTAGAACCAATGAAATCAAAGACGCGCCTCGACCGGCAGACTCATAGGCGTCGGCAACGCATTGGAACGTGTTTCGTTGAGCGATCGCATATTGTGTGTTTTTATAAGAATTGTTGTGTGATTGTTATTGTTGTGGTTTCTGTGGTTACTGTTTTGGTTATACTTAACCATGGAGAGTACAAATGGCACGCGTTGTGAAAGTATGACAGGCGTTCCAGAGTGGACCATTCGCAGGGTGGTGCATGAAAAGAAGAAAACTGGAGCTACTACTGATCCAAAGTTTAATTTGAAGGGACGAAAGGCCGTTAAATTGGATGACGATAGCAAAATGGCGTTAAGGCGAGCCGTACATTCATTCTTCTTTAGGAATGAGATACCAACCCTCAAGGCTGTACATGCAGCGATCAAGGAAAATGAAATTATACCCCAAATGAGCGTCGAGGTAATGAGGAAATCCCTGCACGAAATTAATTTTCGTTACGAAACGCGTAATCGGAAGTCAGTATTGATAGAGAGACCTGAAATAGTCGCTTGGCGTCGAAAATACCTACGCGAAATGATTGAATATAGGCGACAAAGCAGAAAAATCTATTATTTGGACGAGACATGGGTAAATGCAGGTCACACAGTTAAAAAAACCTGGATAGAGAAAAACGTAGTGAGTAACCGACAAGCAAGCATTGAAGGTTTGTCAACAGGTCTTCGTGGATCGTCAGGGAAAGGTCAAAGATTGATCGTAACTCATATTGGTAGCGATAGTGGCTTTTTAGAAGAGTGTGACTTGATTTTCGTCTCTAAGAAAGGAGGTGATTACCATGACGAAATGAATGCCAGCAGCTTCGAGAGCTGGTTTCAAGGGGTGCTTCAGCGAGTTGAGCCCAAGTCGGTGATCGTCATGGATAATGCTTCCTACCATAGTCGTCGAGCCGAACGTGTACCGACTATGGGATCTCGAAAAAGTGACATGCAGCAATGGTTGCGCGAAAAAGGAATCCCGTTTGACGATTCATGCGTGAAAGCGGAATTGTATGAAAAAGTTAAACAGCACAAACCTGCGAACATTAGTTACGTGACTGATGAGATGGCCCGTCAATGTGGTGTCACTGTGCTGCGGTTACCGCCCTACCACTGTGAACTGAACCCAATAGAGCTCATCTGGGCTCAAGTAAAGCGTTATATTGCGCGCCATAACACAACCTTCAAATTACCAGACGTTGAGGTTTCACTTGAGACTTCCATACAGCTAGTAACGCCCGAAGCTTGGCAGAATGCTATCCGTCATGTTGTGAAGGAAGAAACAAAAATGTGGCAGCTTGACCACCACATCGACACCATCATAGAGCCAGTTATAGTCAATTTCAACGAGGAAAGCGATAGCGACAGTTTATTACTGTCAGATGTAACACCCGCACTGCCGAGCCTAGCGAGCAGGTCGTTCACCTCGAGGCACGGCAATAGGGGTGACAGAACTCCGTCCTGCGGACAGCCTCAAGTTACACTAACGCTGCAGCATACGTCATTCAACATAGCTGTTGCTACCCGACCCTCCAGAGTGGATAGGTCGCAATCAACTAGGATCGATCTAACCCCGCGCCTAACCAAGGTATGTCAGATGGAGTCGGTTGTAGTACAATTAAATGCACCTTCAATATCCAGAAAGGACTCGAGTGCCACTTCTCGCTGATCTAGAGCCTGGTATGCGAACTGATTACAATGAATGGCACCCCAATCCAGCGGGCCATTTCTCAAAAATCTCTCAACTATCCTTTCTAATACCTTGAACACAAAAGGTGAAAAGTTAATCGGACGAAAATCATCAGGCCGGTATACCTAGCTCTGCCCACATGCTCGAAACACCTTCAACAGGTAAGGAACAACCGAATCCCGCCTGTGCTGTAACACGGTCGGAAATACGCCGTCGAAACCCGGATTTTTGTATGGAGAAAACGAATCGATCGCTCATACCATTCTATCAAAGGTGACAATCTCAACTGGCAAGCACCAGTCCTGCGCGAGGGCATGCACTGTGATCGATGGCGCTGCTGTGGAACCAGAAGCCTCAGAGTACCTTCCGCGGAAGTAGTATTACCTCCCAAGTGATCAAACACAGATTCCAAGCTTGCTTCTATATACCTATATATATATAAATATAACAACAAGTAGGAAAATAATGGGCAAAGTCCGCAAAAAGGAGGAAAGTGGATTCGAGCAGAAAATAGGATAGGTAAACCGAGCGATACGTATTTCTGCTGGTTGGATTCATCAGGCCCGAAATGAATGCACATATGAAACTACAAAAGTAGATACACATGCCCACACATCCGGATACGGGTGTAACCTGAGGAAACGGTCGTATAGCCATTTTATACTACAATGTGTAGGTTGGCTCTTGTTGTGGACGTCGTTTTTTCCCCTCCAACTTCGTTTCCTCAGGTTACACCCGTATCTGGATGTGTGGGCATGTGTATCTACTTTTGTAGTTTCATATGTGCATTCATTTCAGGCCTGATGAAGCCAACCAGCAGAAATACGTATCGCTCGGGTTACCTATCCTATTTTCTGCTCGAATCCACTTTCCTCCTTTTTGGGAATTTTGCCTATTATTTTCCTACTTGTTGTTATATACTTTTCTCCGCATGATCATATTCTCTTTATATAAATATACTAAGTGACATATAAATCCGAACACCCAGTTTAAATGGTTTTATTTTAATAAAATTTTGATGAAGCATAATAAGTAAATGATAAAACTTTCAAAATGATTGCACTGCTTTAAAGCCCTTTGACCTTTAATAATGTGTGGATGCACCCTGATCTGCTACGCATTCTCCAACGCGCCTAGGCATGCTTCTGATCAGGTGGTCAATGTCCTCCTGTGGTATCTCATTCCAGGCAACCACCAACTCCTCTCGAAGTGCTTCTAGAGTCTGAGGAGGACGTTGCAAATTGAGCAATCTCCTACCCATCATATCCCACATGTGCTCAATTGGGGATAAGTCGGGAGATCTTGGTGGCCATGGTAACAATGTGACATCATTATGTTGAAAGAAGTCTATTGTGACTCTTGCAACATGTGGTCGGGCATTATCTTGTTGGAAAGTTGGATCTGCCAGGGTGTCAAGATAGGGTAAAAGATGGGGTTCTAGAACTTCGTGGATATAACGCTGCGCGTTCATGTTACCTCTGATGAAGATTAAAGGTGACCTGGAACCATGAGCTATAGCACCCCAAACCATAACTCCAACAGTGTGATGAACATGTCTTTCAACAAAAAACTGTGGATTCCTCCTTTTACCACGTCGCCTTCTAACCCTGGCACGACCATCGTGCATGCCTAAACAAAATCGAGACTCGTCACTAAAGAGAATACTGTTACATTCCTGATCCCAGAGTGACCGTTGTCTGCACCACTCAAGGCGATTACGTCGGTGTTCTCGAGTTAAAGGGAGGACCCAGTGTGGCCGGTATGAAAACAAGCCAAAACTTCTCATTCGTAGGTAAACACTTCGCATGCCAATAGGTCTTCCGTGTTCTGCAAACCATTCATTTGCAATGGACCTGGTAGTGGAGAAACGGTCCCTTAAGGCCAATAATCTTAGGCGGCGATCTTCACGGTCTGTTGTTCTACGGCAGCGTCCAGTGCGCCTTGCTCTTTGCGTACGGCCTTCTCGAAGCCATGCCTGACAACACCTAACCATAGTGTCTACACTTCTTTGCACTCTAACTGCAATTGCCCAAAAATAAAGTCCAGCTTCCCGAAGTCCCACTATACGGCCCCTATCAAACTCACTAAGTTGACGAAATCGTACAGGTCTCCGTACTCTAGGCATCGTAACCGATCGTAAAGGATGTCAAGAACCAAAATCCGCCAACGTTGATTCTTCACTGCGGCTGAAATATTCATTTTTAGAGCGTTAGTGAATTAAAAAAAGCAGTATAAAAACCGGAATGTCCAACTGATAAGGCTGAAAATTTTTTCACTTGTTATTTACAGTAAGATAAATACATTCACCAACTTTTATTAAAATAAAACCATTTAAACTGAGTGTTCTGATTTATATGTCACTTAGTATATATATAGATAGATAGATGGCGCTTTGCGCTATCTCTTGCTTTGGTATCCTTGCACAGGATTCTATGTATTCTAGCTGTAGCAGGATGTAGTATGGTAAGATCATACTGTATAACATATTGTTATTAGAAACTTGTTAGGTATTGCAAGTAATATAATTCACCGGAAATGCTACGCTAGGCAGAGGAATGACCGGGGTACCTTGCACTATATATCAACATATCCATTTTTAGACAGAATAAAGTTAATCAGCCTGAAAACAAGTTGTGTTACTAAGGGCGCAAAAGCCCAAAATAGATAAATCTATCATAATTAATGCCGCAGGTCATACTTGAGGTCATTGACAAATAACGTTTTTTGATATTCTCAAGATTTTCTTTGAATCTCTTTTAAATGCGGGATTGTAGAGTTTTCTGGATCTTCGGATATTTGAAATAATACGATGTTAAGGAGGCGAAATTACCTTCCGTAACCACCGGGTGACTGATCTGCACGTTGACTACAGGTGTTGAAGTGGTAGAGGCGGTATTCTCATACTGGAAAGCATCAGTGTCTCCCACCCGTATGCTTTGAACACTGGGACCACTTGGAATCGTTTGAAGATTCAGGAGTCCAGGAGCACTCGGAGCGTTTGCTTCCAGAAGGTAGGCGTTCTCCGGGGGAGACGGGGCGGTAATCACCCTTTGGTCTTCTATCACGTGTTCGAACTGCATGTAAGACTTGGGCGTGTTAGCGTCTTGCTGGGTGGAGTACGATGCGTCTGAAGTTGGTCCATGCTGAATCTGGAAACGGAGTACAGTTATTGGGAAGGAAATAAAACAGCTGGGCCTGTGGGAATAAGAGGGATTAGTATACCGTTTGGCATCATCATAAACGTCTTGCGATCGTCTGAGTAATCGTAGTCGAGTGCCTTGGCCTTTCAGTTTTGACTTAGGAGTAGACTAAATTTAATAGCTGTTTTTTATATGCTTTAGCACTACACACGTCCCAGCCCTAAATTCCCGCGGTTTCCCTGAGGCTTTAGAGTGATACAGCTGATAGAAGGTAGATTAAGAAAATATTCTGATTGACAAAAGAAGGTAAACACCTACGTATGTTTATTAGAATTCAAGAATTTTTTACATATAGATTTGTCTTACCATGGAAAATGACTAGAGTGCGTAGCATTCGCTGGACATCTCAGCTAAGTGACTTTGAGAGGGGTCGAATTGTCGGGTTGCGTGAAGCTGATCTATCGATAACAGAAGATTCTAGGTGGACCAACAGAATCTTATGCAGTATATTGCAAAGTAAACAAGCATAGACTCAGGAAGGCCGCGGACAGCGAGCGAGAAGTTCTGGACATCCCAGAGGTACCACAGATGCAGATGGGGATGCAGGATGGTCGATCAAGAGTCAGAAGGCGACGCGACGTGGTGAAAGACGCGGCCAACAATGTGACAGAGAGCGTCACGTTCACCACACCGTGGGAGTTATGGTATGGGGTGCTATATTCAGGAAGTAGTGGAGCCTCATCTTATTCCATACCTAAACACCATCCAAAACCCGATTTTTCAGCAAGACAATGCCAGACCGCATATCGCCATAGCATCGTTAGCCTTCACGGATCAACATCGCATCAACCGTTTACCTTGGCCACCAATATCGCCTGACCTATCTCCAATTGAACATGAAAAAAGTCTGAGATAGATGTACTTGTGCAGTGGCACAGCTGGCGAAAGTAGTAGATAGCGCCCAACTAACAATTATCACTCCTATTAGAGTTGTAAGAATACATTATTCCTTAAACAGCATTGTATACTGTAAGAACATTGGCAGAACCCTCTTAGAACTGCTATACAAGCGGAAAGGGTACACCTAATAGGACACTTCAGTTATTTAAGAGGTTGTATAAGGGCTGCAGGTAACAGTTATACAACAAAAGTGTAAGCCGCTATAGGAAATTTGCGTCAGTGCAAGATTCAGTTTTTGTCAACTATACAACTATTCTGTTACGTGATTCTACTTTATTGCAATCAAACTATTTCTTATGTATTGTATAGACGAAGAAGAATATATAACTAACACATTACAGTCATCTTGTTTACTTACATATCGGCCATTGTGAATTTCATACACAGGTATATGATAAACTTCTACACTGTGATATAGGGCTATTGAATTACTTGCGCAGCAAATTTTAGATCTAGAGGAACTGTGGATAAATCTGAAGTTGCAATCAAAATTGTACTTAATAGGCGTCATGTATAAGCCTCCTAGATGCAACGTAACAAAAACATTCGAAATTCTAGAATCTTCTCTGGCAACTTTGCTTCCAGATTCAGATTCCGCTATATTATTAGGAGATTTAAATATAAACATTATTGCTAATTCACCTGCTAACGATATGCTATCCTTTGATTTGAAACAAATTGTCAATGAGCCTACACGCATCACAGGGCTTTCGAACACTCTAATTGATTCGATTATCTGCTCTAAAGACCAAGACACTATAGATGTTAAAGTTTTACCGTCCCACAATATATCGGATCACTGTATCATTACATGCGAAATTACTACTACACTAATCCGTAACAAAGTTAGACATTGTACCTTCCGTGATTTCAAGCATGTTGACTAGCAAAAATTTCTTGAACTGTTTTATTTGGTTCCTTGGGATCAGATATTCAACATGCAAGATGCGAACGAAATGTTATATTTTCTGAATGATAACGTGAATAGACTTTTTGACGTTAGTGCACCAGTAAGGACTGTTAGGATATCAAAGTCTCCGGCACCATGGTTAACATATGATATAAAAGAAATGATGAAGTCGAGAGATAAGGCATATAATAAGGTATACACAACACAAGCCGTCCATATCTATCAACCAAATTTATCAGATACTCAGATGTTAAGCAACTGAACACAAAGAATAAGCATATCTTGGTTATCCCGAGACATCCAACATCTCTATTTTAAAGGTCGTACGTATATACTGCTATCAAGCTATACAGGGTGTCCGCAAAGTTGGGGTTTTCCTTTACACGACGTGTAGATCTTGAAAACATAAGCAATTTTTCTTAGTACCATATACACCAATGTCTTAAGGGAACCGAAATAAAGGGCTCTCTGCAACATCAAAAATATCTGAATACCGTCCTGTAGCCGCGACCCGCCGGGATATCACCGGTTAGTACAAGGTCTGAACCCGACGACAGAACTCGGTCGGGGTCAGTGTGTCAGGTCAGTATGCAACCTTCAACCGAGGGTTACGGTCACGCGTGTAGAGGTAATCGCGTAGACGAGAATCCCTCAACAAGCACTAGAGACGTGGCTAGAGAAGTGCAAGTATCAAAAACTAAAGTGTGGCAAACGCTGCGTGAAGAGGGGCTGTATCCGTTTCACGTCCAACGTGTACAAGCCCTTCAACCTGACGATTTTCCAGCAAGAGTGCGGTTTTGTGAGTGGTTGTTGCATCAACATGACAATAATCCGGACTTTTTAAAGTGCATATTGGTGACAGACGAATCTACGTTCACGCGTAATGGGGTGAATAACTTTCGCAACTCTCATGTTTGGTCAGTAGAAAATCCGCACGCTGTCCGTCGGGCAAATTTTCAACAAACATTTTCGGTGAATGTTTGGGCTGGCATGGTGAACGGTATGCTCATTGGACCATTTATTCTCCCAAATCGATTGGACGGGATGCAATACCTAGACTTTTTACGCAACATTTTGCCTTCCTTGTTAGAAGATGTGCCATTAAGTGTAAGACAATCAATGTGGTTTCTGCACGATGGTGCACCGCCCCATTTTAGACGCGAAGTGCGTGAGTTTTTGGATGAATTATTTCTGAATAGGTGGATCGGACGTAATGGACCCGTAGCGTGGCCTCCGCGATCTCCAGACTTAACACCATGTGATTTTTTTCTTTGGGGAGCAATGAAACGCTTACTTAGTGTACAAAACTGAAGTGCATACGGTTGACGAACTTCGTCTCAGAATTGAACAAGCTGGTGCTTTCATTCAGGGGAGGGACTCCATTCTCAAAGCCTGCACCGATGCTTGGCTACGTCGTGCAAGCACCTGTGTTTTTGAATCAAACGGCGATAACTTTGAACAATACCTATAAAGTACGTTTACCTAAAAACTGAAAACGCGGGAACGCCGTCTTATTTGTTTGGTCTGCTCGGTAGCGCATCGGCTGATTTCATTTTCTGTTGGAGCGGTATGATTTCGGGCAGAGACGTACTTAGCCCTTCTCGTCAACTGGAGAGTGAGTACTTTTTCCTTTATTTTTTTTTACTTGGTCGCCCTCGTTTCACTACACATTACCTTTGTTATTTCAAGGGTAGTTGTTTCTGAAAAGGACAACCCCAACTTTGCGGACACCCTGTATAACGCGTTGCCTACCGAGTTCACTCACTACTCTATAAAGAATTTCAAAAAAAGATTGAAGAATTTTATCTCTGATTTCATTGCCCAGTAACTAGACCATGGCCATGAATAAGGACTCGTTACAGGTTTTTGTTTTAACTCGTTTGTTTTCATTGGGATTAGAAAATATATACTAAGTGACATATAAATCCGAACACCCAGTTTAAATGGTTTTATTTTAATAAAATTTTGTATAAGTACTTAATGAAGCATAATAAGTAAATGATAAAAATTTCAAAATGATTGCACTGCTTTAAAGCCCTTTGACCTTTAATAATGTGTGGATGCACCCTGATGTGCTACGCATTCTCCAACGCGCCTAGGCATGCTTCTGATCAGGTGGTCAATGTCCTCCTGTGGTATCGCATTCCAGGCAACCACCAACTCCTCTCGAAGTGCTTCTACAGTCTGAGGAGGACGTTGCAAATTGAGCAATCTCCTACCCATCATATCCCACACGTGCTCAATTAGGGATAAGTCGGGAGATCTTGGTGGCCATGGTAACAATGTGACATCATTATGTTGAAAGAAGTCTATTGTGACTCTTGCAACATGTGGTCGGGCATTATCTTGTTGGAAAGTTGGATCTGCTAGGGTGTCAAGATAGGGTAAAAGATGGGGTTCTAGAACATCGTGGATATAACGCTGCGCGTTCATGTTACCTCTGATGAAGATTAAAGGTGACCTGGAACCATAAGCTATAGCACCCCAAACCATAACTCCAACAGTGTGATGAACATGTCTTTCAACAAAAAACTGTGGATTCCTCCTTTCACCACGTCGCCTTCTAACCCTGGCACGACCATCGTGCATGCCTAAACAAAATCGAGACTCGTCACTAAAGACAATACTGTTCCATTCCTGATCCCAGAGTGACCATTGTCTGCACCACTCAAGGCGATTACGTCGGTGTTCTCGAGTTAAAGGGAGGACCCAGTGTGGCCGGTATGAAAACATTCATTTGCAATGGACCTGGTAGTGGAGAAACGGTCCCTTAAGGCCAATAATCTTAGGCGGCGATCTTCACGGTCTGTTGTTCTACGGCGGCGTCCAGTGCCCCTTGCTCTTTGCGTACGGCCTTCTCGAAGCCATGCCTGACAACACCTAACCACAGTGTCTACACTTCTTTGCACTCTAACTGCAATTGCCCGAAAAGAAAGTCCAGCTTCCCGAAGTCCCACTATACGGCCCCTATCAAACTCACTAAGTTGACGAAATCGTACAGGTCTCCGTACTCTAGGCATCGTAACCGATCGTAAAGGATGTCAAGAACCAAAATCCGCCAACGTTGATTCTTTACTGCGGCTGAAATATTCATTTTTAGAGCGTTAGTGAATTAAAAAAAAGCAGTATAAAAACCGGAATGTCCAACTGATATGGCTGAACATTTTTTCACTTATTATTTACAGTAATATAAATACATTCACCAACTTTTATTAAAATATAACCATTTAAACTGGGTGTTCGGATTTATATGTCACTTAGTATACATAAATATTTGTTGGGTTAAGTTGAAAAACGCTTTTTAGCGACACTTCGCCTTTTTATACTTTGTATAAATAAAGCCGGATTATTATTATTATAAATTAGAGATCCGTCGGGTGGTACCTGCACGCTCGGCTACCTGAGACCGTGTAGCACCTACGGGCAATCACAACATCCATAGCCAAGAGACATATTTCTCGGGCGGGATTGAAATACTGCCACGGCGACTGGTAATTAGACCCACAGACTAAACTATTACGCTCAAAATGTATTAAGAGCGCTAAATGCACGGTTACGACCCGCGGCGTGAAATTAGACCAAGGTGCCGACCGCCGCGGACTCTAACACTGCCGTGCTAAGCGCAAACGATCTATAGTCAACGCCAAACAAAGTGGCGTGCACGTCACCAAGGTATGTGTGTCGAAAAATTTACATTGTTGCCAAACTTTTAGTAAAATAATAAAATTTATTATTTACATATCTAGGTTTATAAGCAATATTAACCTCAAATGAGAACAAAAATAATAGTATAATAAAATTATAGATCTGTACTTGCATAATCATTAAGTACGACAATTATTGATCAGATGACACTATGAAACTACCATATTTAATTGATAGCTTAAAGGTACTGAATAAAAATCCAAATGGGTCCTCCAAATTTTATGCATGGTATTTATTTTACAGAATTCATACAGAAAAATGCATTCTAAAATTAGGTAAGCTACTGGTGTAAGCTTTTTCTGTACAATAAAGTTAGTCGGAGTTTCTTTCTTCAGCGCTGTCTGAATCTGAATCTTCATCACTCTCAAAGTTGATTATTAAAGGTTCGATGTCTGGTCGATCAAAAATTCGTTCTCTTTCATACCATTTAAAAATTTCTTGCTCAGTATGTCGAACACTATTTTTCCACATGTCTGGGGTAACCGTTTGTAGAGCCTCGTTCCACATATCCAAACAGTCTTTTTCACTGTTACCATCTCTACCAATATGTCTGTTATAGTAACCTTTTGCTATGCCCCAAATTAACTCAATAGGGTTAAATATACAATGGTAAGGAGGCAGACGAAGAACTTTGTGCCCATGTTGTTCCGCCAATTCATCAATCACGTATATTTTAGGTGGTTTGTTTCTAAAAAAGCAGTTATTTTAAGAATAGGAATAAACAAAAGAAATATAAACTGTCGACCAAAATATATATAATTAAGAAGCATTATGTACCGAGCAACAATACTCAATAGCTCTGTTTTAAACATTGTGTTTAAAAATGGTATGTTTTGATTTGTCAACCAGTCTTGGATATTTTTTTTTGTCCATGCATTGTTGGGCACTTTGTTCAATATCATGCTGTGATAAGGGGCGTTATCCAGTATAATCATAGATGGACTCTCCAATTTTTCTACTAACTGATGTTGAAACCATTTCGAAAAATTGTCCTGGTTCATCTCTCCATGGTAATCGCTCAATTTTGTTTTCGAAGAAAATATCGCTTCACTACCCTCAATAAACCCATTTTCATTTCCAGCATGTAATATAATGTATCTAAAATATATTAGTTTTAAATTTTATAGTGCAAATTGTGTAAAAGTACATACCTTTTACCATCTGTTTTAATAGCTTTCACGCTTTTTTGGTTTCCATTTTGCCAAGAGCGACCTATGGTCCCATTTTGAAATATCCAAGTTTCATCGAGGAAGACAAACTGGTATAAGGCCTCAACCTTGGCTTGATTGTATTGCCTTAGAACCCACCCACCCTTTTCAAAGATATACTTGGTAGTTCCATGAGCCCTCGTCGCGGATTGTCCTTAAGCCACTTAAATCCAAGATCTCTAAGCAACCGCCTTAAAGACGTGGCACTACCAAATAATGCCCTATCTCTTAATCGAGACCATAAAGTTTGTATCGTAACTTGTTCTTCTGAAACCATGTGTAATATGACATTATAATTTAGTTAACAAATTAATGCAAATTTCTGATAAGTTATTATAATAAGATCTTACTTTTGTGATACATATTATAGATCACTTCTCGAATGGCACTTGTATCCAATGTCGCTGTGTTGGTTACACGTTTAATATAACTCCGCTTTTTCTTGGGCGATTCTAAATTTGCATCACTTTTCACACCCTCGGAAATACGACTAACTGTCCTTAAACTAATTTTTAAAGCAGCAGCAACACGCTACAAAAAATAAAATAAAATTTCACTATTATTAATATACATTACATATAATTATTAGTAACCTACCTCTTGAACAGCATTTAAAGGCAACAAAGGCCCGTTGTTGTCCCTTTCTTGCTCAAAGTAGTGCATTAACGAGGCCACGAGTTCCTTACACCGACTATTTAACTGTTTGGGCATCTTTATATACCAAAATTGCCTTTATCTACTCGTAAAATGAATAATTTTGTTTTGAAACAAACAGTTGTTGATTTACAGTATGCGGGGCCAAAGGATTTATAAAGATTTGAAATGCCACAAATTGATTCAGTGTCAAAATTAATACAAATGTCAGTTCCCAGTTTAAATAAGTTTCAAGGTGACAATGTGTCAACGCTGCGAAATCGGTTTAGTGCGTTTACATGTCGATAAGTGATTGGAGCGTTTGCAAAACATTTTATTTCGCATAATGCGTCTAAATTTATCAGAAAGCAACTTATGTGATATTTTACTAACAATGTTTATATGACTATTAACCATAATAAGAGAGTAATGACCATTTTACAATTTATATATATATATCACATTAATATGAAACTGCAATAGAGCAATTGTTTGTGATAGAAACCTAGGCATTAGGTCGGGGAATTTTTATCGTGATGACGTGCACGCCACTTTGTTTGGCGTTGACTATACCTCGTTATCTGCACCTATGATGGAATAGACGTATGAACTCATTTTGAAAAAATACGGCATGGATTCTGAGAGAACTATTGTACGAGGGTTGTTTCAAAAATAAGGTTCTCATATTTTGTCAGGCACAAGGAATTTTTTATTTGAGAAATTTATCATTGGAAACGTTGATCTTTAACCTATTTTTTCTATAGTCACCTCTAGGAAGTCCGCTGTCAGCCTGTTTAGAAACTTGCTGCTTGACAAACATACCGGTGTTGCCACATTACGCCTAGCATCACGCGAGGCAAAGTTATAGCGTCCGAAACCTTATTTTTGAAACAACCGACGCGTCGTTTAATGGTCCGATAATAAAAAACATTTTAATATTGCACAAACCTCATTCTCCGTAGTAACTATTCGCTCAGTGGCCGCACTTGGAGTGGTCCGCACCCTAGTTCTGAATCTAGATTTTGTAGTCGTCGTCTGGTAATCGCCCTGTTCTTGACTATTGTACCTTCCTCGCTCCGTTGAGGTCGCAGGTCTTCTACGAGCCACAGACCTCCTGGTCGTCGTAATCGAATCACTGAATCTACTTGCGCCTCGCTGCCGACCTCTTGTTCGAGGTTTCGTGGTCGTCGTTGGCTTCTCAGTAGTTGTTGTCGTAGTCGTAGTAGTAGTTGTTGTCGGGTGTATGTAAACCACTTCTGGAGTTTCCGCTTTGGTGCTAGGTGGTTTGGTTTCGGCTGTTGAGGATGGGTGTGGAATATCGCTATCTAGAACAGGCAGAAGTCTAAATGTGGAATATATTTTTTTCTTGGAATTAACAGCAATAGTTCGAAAACTGTTCGAAAAAGTGGTGCAAACCATATATAAAAAAAAATTCACAAGAAGAGCTATTTAATGATGCAAGGAGTTTCATTTGAAATTTATGAGAATAGGTGCATTTTGAGCGCCGAGAGAATATGTATAAATAGAAAGACATTTTGGCGTCTCTTTCAGATCAGCTTAAAATCGTTGATAATGAAGTTTTTGTGAGCTAAAATTTATACAAATATCTTCAAAAGTGGCGGCGCTGCATACCGTCCAAAATGGGCATTTTTCAGATATTTAATTGAATATGTAAACAATTGACAATCGAAATCATATGTTATATGATATCAAACTTCTTGCTTTTAGAAGTTCTATCCAAATATACAATAAAATATAATAAAAAATACACACAGTTGTGGGAAACCCTGTACATATCCAAACAATTTTAAAATGTGCAATAGTAACCTATCAAGTTTGCAATGAAAAGTTTATATGAGCATATGTCCTAAACCTCTTAACTTTTGAGCTGTTAACATTTTAAGTTTTCTTATCCTAACTTTAATACTCTAGATATTTTCATGAAATTCGACGTGCACGTACAAAGCACCAATAGGCTTTTTTTGCTGTAGAACATTTTTTAATATTCCTATCCGTGGCGTCCGTACTGGATGTACGCTGGAGATTTTTCAAAAAAAATATTGTACGCCATTGTTTTGTTTAATATATATACAGGGTTATCCAAATTAAGTGTCCACCATTAGTAACTTTGTTATTAGTGAAAATACAAACTAGTAGCATTTTTAACGCTGGTAAAAATGAGAAATAAAAAAAAACAATTGAGAGTCGTTATTTTGATTTTTTTCAGTAAAATAACATTTTTTTAAATGGAAACCCCTGTATATTATGTTTTTTTCTGTTAAAGCATCAAATTTTAAACAAAAAAGTTCATAATGACTTTTCCGCTAAAGTCAAAAATAAAGTCAAAATAACGATAAATATTTTTTATTATTTGCAGTATTATAATATTAAGACGGCTATGAAAACAACATGGCGTTCGCGATTTGACAGCATTAAGATAAGCGACAAATTGTTAAACTGGACATACTCGCAACTAGAAGGCTTTGGAAAACAATGATAAAATCAAATAATGTCAAACATTAGTGTAAATACTTGTTTATAAGCTTTATTGTGTCATTAATTTAAAGAAAAATGTTCTCCTATGAAGAAAAGTGTGATATGTTAGAATGCTATTTAGTGTGCAGAAAATCCTCCTTGAGAGCAAGAGAATACTACAGTGAATTATATCCCGCTCGCATTCAACCGTATGAACGATATTTTCTGAGACTTTATCGAAAATTTAGGGGCAACGAAAATGTTTTTGCTAAAACAAGGGCAAAAAAAGAATTCATAATAAGCGAGGCCACGGAAATTGCAGTTATTGGATATTTTGAAGCTTATCGTGAGAATTCAATAGCAGATATTCTCAAGGACTCTAATTTCAGTTATGGTACTGTTCAAAGGATTTTAAAAAAATACAAATTTATTCCGTATAAGTACCGACCAGTTCAAACGCTTTTGGCAGGGGATCCAGAGAGAAGACTTGTTTTTTGCCATTGGTATCTTAGCTTCTGTCGCCAAAATGTAAATAACTTTCGTTACCTTTTATGGACAGATGAATCAAATTTTTCAAATTCTGGAATGTTTAATAGAAAAAACCACCATTATTGGTCAAGAGAAAATCTTTTGTTAGTACATCCAAGAGGCCCACAAGTCCGTTTCAGTTTCAACGTTTGGTGCGGTATAATTGGTTCAAAAATTGTTGGCCCGTTCTTTTATGAGGGAACCCTAACTGGTGAAAGATATGTGGAATTTATGTCAGAAATTCTGACTAATTTCTTAGACGAATTGGATCTTATAAGTAGACATCATCTGCATTTTCAGCAAGATGGCGCACCTGCCCACAACTCCAGAGGTACTTATCATTTTCTAAGTACTACTTTTAATGATCAGTGGATAGGAACAAATGGCCCAATACAGTGGCCTCCCAGATCACCAGATCTAAACCCACTTGATTACTTCTTGTGGGGTTACTTAAAGAACCAAATTTACAAGCGAAGGTACGATAACCTTGACGCGTTAAAGACTGCAGTTAGGGAAAAGATAACCCAGATAGATGGTAGGACCATACTTAAGACAGTTCGAGCAGTTGAAAAACGTGCCCAAAAATGTATTGAAGAACAAGGTGGTGTTTTCGAGCATCTTCTTTAAAAAAAATTGTTATTGTATTTTGTAAGATTATAAGTTGATGTTGAAAATAAAGTTTGTCGATACAATTTAATTGTTTCAGATTGGAGGCCATAACTTCAACAATTTGTAACCTAGGAGAAAAGTTATTGTAAGCTTTTTTGTTTAAAATTTGATGCTTTAACAGAAAAAATATAATATACAGGGGTTTCCATTTAAAAAAATGTTATTTTACTGAAAAAAATCAAAATAACGACTCTCAATTGTTTTTTTTTATTTCTCATTTTTACCAGCGTTAAAAATGCTACTAGTTTGCTAATTTAAACAACTTTGTATTTTCACTAATAACAAAGTTACTAATGGTGGACACTTAATTTGGATAACCCTGTATATATATATATATTACTACTGCTCACGTTATATGTAACTATATATACAGGGTGTTTCAGTTTATTGTTGCATAACTTTAAGATTCGATAGAACTTTTAAAATTAATGCATAAAAGTCTATGTAAACATGGGTCGAAAAATGCGTGGCTTCCGAAATACAGGGTGTTTAAATTTACTTTCTAAAATAGTGTTTTTTAAATATTTCGAACAATATTTGATGTATAACAGTGAAAATTGGTATACAAGGGTTTTTTGGTACGACAAAACGAACAGTGGGCATATTTTTACTGTAGACGCTGGAGGGCGCTCTCTACTGTACCTGTAGTGTATTAAAATGACGGAAAAATTTTTCTTAGTGCAATTTTTTGCTTTTTGAATAAAAAAACTGATTCTTCGCACTTTTCAACATAAAAAAGCTCTCTTGTGAATTTTCGTTATAGTTAGCCGTTTTTGAGATATTTCGATTTTTAAGGTTCGATGCATTTTTAATTATTTATGATAAAATAACGTTAAAAAGTCAGTATCTCGATAATTTTTAGAAGTAGGCTGTACCTGCAAATATTTTTGAAATTGAAAGCAGAATAAGGTTAAACGTCAATTAGTTGACAGTTAGTTTTGTTGTCTGTTGAAACGTGAAACGTTTTTTTGCAATTGTGAATGCATGAAATTTAGTTTCTTTTACCTATTTTTTGTAAGTTTTATAAAAATGCCATTTTTATTCTTTAATCAAGAGTTAGCGGATATTCATTTTGTGTATGGCTTTGTAAATGGAAACGCAGCAGAAGCAGCCAGAGAATACGCACGAAGATTTCCAAACAGACGACATCCAACTCGCTCAGTATTTGTAAGAGTGCATCGCCAAATAATTGAAAATGGTTTTGGAAATCTCCATAGGGATCAAAACATAAATGTTCGTCAGCACAGATTTAGCCGTATGATTCTGCGTGAGTTTGATAGAGATCCGACCACAAATGTTAGGAGAGTTTCTGGTGACTTGGGAATTTCAGCAAGCCATGTTCACCGTGTTCTTAGAAATGATCATAGACGTCCTTACTATTTGCAACCTGTGCAAAGACTACAGCCAGGGGACCGAGAACGAAGAATCACATTTTGTCAGTGGATTCTTGATCGAACTGATAATAATAGGGCGTTTTTAAGTAACGTTTTATGACCAGTCGCCTGGCCTCCACGATCCCCTGACCTAAATCCATTAGATTTCTTTGTGTGGGGATTTCTGAAAGAAAAGGTGTACCAGACTCACGTAACCACAAGAGATATGCTAATAGACAGAATCAGGAATGCATGTGATGAAATAAGGCCTTATTTGAATAATGCTATACCACGTTCGATTATTCGTAGATGTGAATTGTGTATTGAACAATTGGGTTTACATTTCGAGCAACTACTTTAGATTTTGTATGTTTGTCCTAACTAGCCAATAGCATTTTAGTTGTAAATAATTAATTTAATTTGTTAAAAGTAATATTGGAAAATTAAACAAATTAATATTCTGTTTTTTGTGTTTATTTTTAGTTAGGAATTATTGCTGTGTTTAAAAACACAATCTAAACGATCATCTTAATTACTTGTAATGCCCAAATGGAAAATGTAAAAAAAAATATTATTTTCCCATAAATAATTAAAAATGCATCGAACCTTAAAAATCGAAATATCTCAAAAACGGCTAACTATAACGAAAACTCACTGGAGAGCTTTTTTATGTTGAAAAGTGCGGAGAATCAGCTTTTCTATTCAAAAAGCAAAACATTGCACTAAGAAAAAAATGTCGGTCATTTTAATACATTAAAGGTACAGTAGAGAGCGCCCTCTAGCGGCTACAGTAAAACTATGCCCATGATTCGTTTTGCCGTACCAAAAAACCATTGTATACCAATTTTCACTGTTATACATTAAATATTGTTCAAAATATTTAAAAAAAAACTATTTTAGAAAGTAAATTTAAACACCCTGTATTTCGGAAGCCATGCCCCATATTTATATAGACTTTATGCATTAATTTTAAAAGTTCTATCGAATCTTGAAGTTATGCAACAATAAACTGAAACACCCTGTATATGAAAGGACGTCCCCCTTAAAAATCAAAACTGACGTGTCCGAGAGTATTGCTCCAAATATACCACCCTGTACCAGATCACATCAACGATTCTCTGCCTGTCCCGTAAATCCTCAACTTTAAATTTCAGTAGCTTGGACGATGTCCATTATCGAACTTTGTGTCTATAGAAATTTATAATCAAGAGACCGTAGTACACAACATATTCCAAATTTAGCTAACTCCGCAGTACCCCCGTATGCGTCGTATTCTTCAATCTACATTTTATCAAACTTACCTGGCGTATATTGTGAATTGGCCGAGGGTCCAAATCCTTGAGGTTCCTGATTCGTCGTAGGCACGTAGTCATAAAGCGAAGTATCAATTTGTGGCCCATCAGCAGCTACAGAAGTAAAATCAAAGTACGGATTCGAATATTCCTTCCTAACGTTGTCATACTGCTTCTTCTTCGCAGGAAGCAGAAGGTTTGGTGTCAACAACGAGGTAACTGTTTGATCTGCAAGCGAAGCATCATATTCTTTTTCCTTCTTTACATCTTTAGGTTGTTCTTGCCGGAAATGGTCTTCTCCACTCCCAGAAACAGTTGATTGTCTGTGGTTGTGTGCTCCTTCTTGATTATTACTCTGAGCGTCTTTGTTTGGCTTGAAAGTTTTCAGGTATGGATTTTGTAAAAACGTATCGGAAAGATCATCTAAATTCGGCTCAGGAAAGCTGTGCTGCGAATGTTCTTGTTTGTGATCACGATTATAATTTTGTTGCACGTTTTCTTGAGCTCGTTCAAAATAGGGATTTGGAGGGTCGTCGTGATCATGGTGGTGGGTGTGGTCCTCATAGCTTGGCCTGAAATCACCGAATGGTTCGTGCTTGTCGGCATCTTTAGTATTCTCATAATCGAATTGGCCATAAGGATTAGAGGGACCTTCACCGATAGTATCATACTTTGAGGTGGTTCCTCTATCGTCATACGGCGAACCATACTTTGAACTTTCTGTGGCAGAAAAGTCTTCTAATACAGTATAGTGCTCTTTAGATGGAGGGGCAGTCGTAGGCCTGCGAACTTTGGCCTTCTGAGTCGTAGTTTCGACGTTAACGTCTCTTAGGATTGTAGAAGGTTTAAAGTTTTGTGAATCAGAGTTGAACTGATATGTGGGTTGAGGCCTTTCAGGTTTCCGATGATGGTAAGTGAAACCGTCTTCCGGAGAATAATGTACTTGATCCTTGCTTCTATGCTTATCGTCAAGCTGGGAGTTGATCTGATGCAAATCGAAAGTATGCGAAGATAAATCTAAAGGCTTCAGCTGAGACTCATCGTTTTTAGAGCCGTGTGAGTGAGAATGAGAGTGAATCTCGTCTATCACCTTTTCAGCTTCCGTTTTTTCCGGTTTTGGCGTGAGACTGAATACGTGAGATTCGGTGGTACTTCCAGTTAGGATGGAGGAGGGTGTATTCACGTAGTTCCTACTTGGTTGGCTATAACTCTTAGAGATCAGTGACGGGTATTTCTCTTCTCCCTTTTTGAAGTAGCTGTCTTGTAGATGAGACTTCAGCGGCTTCGAGTATTCCTTAACGGTGAAGGTTTGTTCGAAGTTTGAATTAGACTTTATCTTTGGCGCGTTCCTTTGACCTTCTCGAGCGTTCGAATTTGAGCTGTGTTTATAATTCTTGATTCTGACCCTTTCTTTAACTCTAGGCTTGGCAGGAGTAGTTTCTCCAGTCAGAGGCGTTGTAGGACCATGCGTGTCTTGGTGTTGCATTGAAGGTACTTCAAGTTTCTGCGTGTGATCATCTGCATTGAAGTTCAGTTGATGCGATGTTCCCAAGGTAGGGGTTTGGAAGAAATCCTGACTGTTATAACTCTGAATGTTGGGTGAATACTGCGAAGTACCGTAGCTCGAACCGACTGTAACGTAGCTATTTCCAGTTCCCCCATAGTAACTTGGAGTACTGCTGGGCCTCCTGGTGCTCAACTCCTTATTGTTGACCACAACGGATCCTACGTGTGGTGAAGGGAGAGAAATTTTGGAGTAGCCCGGTGGAGCTTTGAAACTCAAAGGTGCCACAAAAAACGGTAGCTCTTCTACATTCTTCTCCCGCTTTCCATCCAGAGCGTTTAGATACGGCAACAAGAATTTCACGTAGCCATCAGGTGGGTTCAAGCTTGATGGGCCGATGAATACTTGTGGTGAATCAGGTTGTATACTGTCTTGCACAGCGATCGTTTTTGCCTCTTTGAGAGCATCCAAAACATCGTCTAACTCAGCGTTCCTGTTAGTTTCTAAGTAAACAGCTAATGGTGGTTGATGTGGCTTCCGCTTTTTAGGGGTACTGCTTCCTGGGGAGGTAGCTGAAGGTGGAGGTACATTGCTTGCCTGAGCGTGAGGTATCTGTTGTTGTTCACTAGGTTTCTGCACCAAATGACGTTGGGACTGCACTATGTTTGGCCTTTGAGTCTGCACTAAAGGTTGAGCTTGAACCAGTCGCTGTTCAGACTGCACGTAAGTTTGTTGCGGTGACTCAGACTGCTGCTGCGGAGTGACAAACAGTTTTTGAGGCTGCAACAGGTGTTGTTGCGATTGAGCTAAATGCTGTTGCTGCTGAGTGATGTATTGCTGAGGTTGTTGTTTCACGACACTCTGCTGTGGTTGTACCAGTTGTTGAGGTTGTGGCAATATGGCATTTTCTTGGGATTGAACATATTGAGGTTGCTGCTGTTGCACGATCTGATACTGCTGTGGCTTTTGCTGCGGTTGTATAAATTGCTGCTCGGGTCTGTAGTAAAGTGGTTCGCCTAGCTGGATCTGGTCTTGCAGTCTCTGAGCTTGCAGGGCTTGGTGAACGAAGTCCTGTTCAATGTTCGTCAGGCGAGTGTTGAATTTGTTCCTCAAATCGGCCTAGAAGAAGAAAATTGCAATGAGCTCGTAGAAAGTGAGCACATATTGATATGCATGTGTGATATATGGGGTTGTCCAAAACGGATGCAGGAAAGTAAACGCATATTAAAACAAGAAAGATTGATATTCAAATCAAGTTGGGAACTTTATTTTGAAGGTTCATTTATACCATTTATGTATGAAAAATAATATCGCTCAAATGTTCACCACGACTGGATTTACAGACGTCCACGCGATGACATTTTGCAACATGGTCGGTTCTATGGCATTTATCTCGGCAATGATGTTCTTTTTGAGTTCTTGGAGGGTGGCTGGTTTGTTGACGTAGACTTTGCTTTTCAAATATCCCCATAAAAAGAAGTCCAAGGGAGTCAAATCGCACGATCTTGCTGGCCATGGCACATTTCCTCTGCGCGAAACCACGCGATCACCGAAGAAGGACTGCAATCGATGGATATTGACGTTGGTTGTGTGGCATGTTGCACCGTCTTGTTGGAAATAAACATCGTCCATATCCATTCCTTCAAGTTGCGGCAAAAAATAGTCCTCTATCATCACGTGATATCGCTCAGAATTGACGGTAACGGCGCCCCGGCCGCATTTTCGAAAAAGTAAGGTCCGATGATGCCTTTTGACCACAATGCACACCACACAGTCACTTTTTGAGGATGCATCGGCTGCTCTTGATACTCACGGGGATTTTCGTTCGCCCAGTTGCGACAGTTTTGCTTGTTTACCGTCCCATTCAAAGTGAAATGCGCTTCGTCGCTGAACATGATTTTTGATGAAAAATTGGCATCAATTTGGCGGTGTTCAAGGAGCCAACCTGAGAACGCTCGGCGCGAAAAATGGTCGGCCCGACGCAGCTCTTGCGTCAATTGGATCTTGTAGGCGGGTACATTCAAATCCTTGTGGAGAATGCGGAGCAAACTGGTTCTCGAAATGCCCAATTCTTGGGATCGACGCGTTGTTGATTGTTTCGGATCGTCTCTTACACTCTCCTTCACAACAGCAATATTTTCCGGTGTGCGAACGCTGCTTGGCCGGCCAAAGCCTGGCAGATTTGCCACAGAACCTGTTGCCTCGAATTTACGCACCAGACGACCGATGGTTGTTTCGTTTGGGCGGTTGTTGCGTCCGAAATGTTCATGCAGCGCGCGAAACGTGTTTTTTATTTTTGCACCATTTTTGTAGTGCTCTTGAATAACTTTAATGCGGTCTTCAATCGAATACGACCCCATAGCGATCAATGGTAAACATTCAATTAACAAAATGACATGTCGGTGACGGAAAAAAAAGATGGCGTCTATGTCAAATTGACGTTTACTTTCCTGCGTCCCTATTGGACAACCCAAGTTCTAACTCAAAATAAAATGACAATTTTTGATGGCAAAACGTCAAAGTTCGAAAAGGTAGGAGGTTCCGCAAAAAAGAAACAACAATGAAATTGACAGATGCACAGGGCGGCCAACAAAGAATGCGAGGGAACCTATCCATGGTAGAGGCATCTGGCAAAAACACAACAGAACGGCCAAGAGAAAAACTTGGAAAATATTTTCAAGTCTCTGAAATGGACTCTAGGGGGCAACCTTGAATACAAAAAAGTGATGTTTCTATGAATTCCGCTATATTAACCTAAAAAATACCTGACCTTTAAAGTCGAGAATAATGTGAACTTTGTTGTTTGACAATTGTTGCTATATCGCTAAAAATAAAGTGGTGGGAGGTAGTCAAAGGTTTCCGTAAAGAACGCCCTGTATCGTCGAAACCGCTTAGCCGATTTTAACAAACATGGGCTAGTTGGAAAGAGCTATTTTTGGGGTACAAATATTTGAAGTTTTGGTAGTTTCACATGTGGCCGCTAGAGGACTTTTTCTCTTTAAAAAATGAAATGCATTGGAATGATTTTTTAATGAAAAAGTAGCTTGTTTCCAGATACAGCACCTCGCCACCCTGTACATATACTTCAGAATATATAAAAGCAACACCAGGAACATCGTATCATTTAATAACGGCAACTCTACCTGTCTGATATCAGCTTCAGCCTTCAAATCCTGCTGCTGTTGATTTGTTTTCAGGTTCTCCAAGGGGACATACACCAATTGCACTGATTCCTTTCCGCCCTTAGCAGGCGCTTTTGCCGTTGATTGTTGGTGATTCTGGCCGACACTGAGCAGCTCGTGGTTGATAGCGTCTGGATTCAAAGATTCGTAAAAGGTGTTGTTGAACGGAAGGCTATACTGTTGATACGTGTTTGGTGCGTTAACCGGGGGCAGTTGCTGTTGTTGCAAAATGATCTGGAAAACAGTACAAGCATTTCTAAAAAATCACAAGTAATTTAGTAGTACCGTATTTTGCACTATACAATATTAATTTTAAGCAACATAATACTATATCCATAAGCTAGAAATAGTCGAGAAGATTGATACCGTACTTCTAACCTCTTAATACGTCTTTTGTGATGAAGAATCCTGCATAAACAATGTCGCCGTACCTGTGCAAATAAACTCTACTTTTGTGAAGTACCTGCGAGTGAAAGTTTCATTGCGATTTAAGCGGTCTAAAATATCACATTTTTCTTTAATTGTCAATGTTTTGTTTGTTTTGTTTCGCTTCTGAGTTTGTGCTGACATTACTAGGTACTATACTTAATACTTAAGATTGTCAAATACGTATGTATGTAATACGTATTCAAAGACATGTCGGATTACAGGGGGTGCCGGATTAGACAGGGGCCGGATTAACGGGGGTCCACTGTACTACTGTAATATAAGCTCTTGGTAATTGAACATTATTTTCTTCTTTTTAGCTCGTTTAGCTATAAAAGCGTATTTTTGTATTTTTGTTAAACTATTACTTATCTAAGATTGTACAATAACTTACATGCTCATCTTGTGCCAGTCTGACTTGTTGTGGAACCTTCGCTTTTTGAGGTATCCCATGTTGAACTGGTAGACTTTGTTCTTGACCAATTTGTGAAGTAAACTGCTGTTGACTCAGTATCTTTGGTTGTTGTTGACTGTAGATAGGTTGCTGCGATACCGACACTTGTTTCTGAGGAACCGCCTGATGTTGAGGACCTGAGAGCTGCTGTTGAGACACGATTTGCTGAGATGCAAGCGCTTGTTGAGATGCAAGCGCCTGTTGAGATATCGGACGGTGTGGCGGTGGTTGGCTTAGCACTGATTGTGGAGGAAGCTGGATCTGGCTGTTGTACGCTGGTTGTCTCTGGATGCCGTACTGACTTAGTGGAGGAGGTTGTTCGTAGATTAATGGATTTAAGTCTTGAGTTGTGTAATGGAGATAGGACGATCCTGAAAAATAATTCAAGACATATACTAAGTGACATATAAATCCGAACACCCAGTTTAAATGGTTTTATTTTAATGAAAGTTGGTGAATGTATTTATCTTACTGTAAATAACAAGTGAGAAAATTTTCAGCCTTATCAGTTGGACATTCCGGTTTTTATACTGCTTTTTTTTTAATTCACTAACGCTCTAAAAATGAATATTTCAGCCGCAGTAAAGAATCAACGTTGGCGGATTTTGGTTCTTGTCATCCTTTACGATCGGTTACGATGCCTAGAGTACGGAGACTGTAACTTAGTGAGTTTGATAGGGGCCGTATAGTGGGACTTCGGGAAGCTGGACTTTCTTTTCGGGCAATTGCAGTTAGAGTGCAAAGAAGTGTAGACACTGTGGTTAGGTGTTGTCAGGCATGGCTTCGAGAAGGCCGTACGCAAAGAGCAAGGGGCACTGGACGCCGCCGTAGAACAACAGACCGTGAAGATCGCCGCCTAAGATTATTGGCCTTAAGGGACCGTTTCTCCACTACCAGGTCCATTGCAAATGAATGGTTTGCAGAACACGGAAGACCTATTGGCATGCGAAGTGTTTACCGACGAATGAGAAGTTTTGGCTTGTTTTCATACCGGCCACACTGGGTCCTCCCTTTAACTCGAGAACACCGACGTAATCGCCTTGAGTGGTGCAGACAACGGTCACTCTGGGATCAGGAATGGAACAGTATTGTCTTTAGTGACGAGTCTCGATTTTGTTTAGGCATGCACGATGGTCGTGCCAGGGTTAGAAGGCGACGTGGTGAAAGGAGGAATCCACAGTTTTTTGTTGAAAGACATGTTCATCACAGTGTTGGAGTTATGGTTTGGGGTGCTAAAGCTTATGGTTCCAGGTCACCTTTAATCTTCATCAGAGGTAACATGAACGCGCAGCGTTATATCCACGAAGTTTTAGAACCCCATCTTTTACCTTATCTTGACACCCTGGCAGATCCAACTTTCCAACAAGATAATGCCCGACCACATGTTGCAAGAGTCACAATAGACTTCTTTCAACATAATGATGTCACATTGTTACCATGGCCACCAAGATCTCCCGACTTATCCCCAATTGAGCACGTGTTGGATATGATGGGTAGGAGATTGCTCAATTTGCAACGTCCTCCTGAGACTCTAGAAGCACTTCGAGAGGAGTTGGTGGTTGCCTGGAATGAGATACCACAGAAGGACATTGACCACCTGATCAGAAGCATGCCTAGGCGCGTTGGAGAATGCGTAGCACATCAGGGTGCATCCACACATTATTAAAGGTCAAAGGGCTTTAAAGCAGTGCAATCATTTTGAAATTTCTATCATTTACTTATTATGCTTCATTAAGTACTTATACAAAATTTTATTAAAATAAAACCATTTAAACTGGGTGTTCGGATTTATATGTCACTTAGTATACATAGGTGTTATGGCACAAAATGTAAGTTCACAGTCATTTAGGAAAATGTGATTTTAATTGGAACTGCTTCCTTTGGTTTATGGTTCTGATTAAAATCACTTGTTAAATATGTTGAGGAACAGTGTCTTTATTGTATGAGATTTAGGACACTAAAAAATTATCAGTTTCCTAGAATGCGAGGTACTGTATCTTGGAACTAATTCATCGTAGAGGCTTGCTTCAAAAAAAGTTCTTAGTAAAACGGCCAACAGAAAAACCCGGAAAATATTTTTGAGTTTGAAATGGTCGCTTCTGTGAATTCCGCTATATTGACTAACCTAACAAAAAAAAATTTTATATATAAAGTCGAGTGTGATGTGAACTTTTTTTTTACAATTTTTGCTGTATCTCTAACAACAAAGCGAAAATAGTTATCCTTGGGCTACAAATGTTAAGATATACTAAGTGACATATAAATACGAACACCCAGTTTAAACGGTTTTATTTTAATAAAATTTTGTATAAGTACTTAATAAAGCATAATAAGTAAATGATAAAAATTTCAAAATGATTGCACTGCTTTAAAGCCCTTTGACCTTTAATAATGTGTGGATGCACCCTGATGTGCTACGCATTCTCCAACGCGCCTAGGCATGCTTCTGATCAGGTGGTCAATGTCCTCCTGTGGTATCTCATTCCAGGCAACCACCAACTCCTCTCTGCTTCTAGAGTCTAAGGAGGACTTTGCAAATTGAGCAATCTCCTACCCATCATATCCCACACGTGCTCAATTGGGGATAAGTCGGGAGATCTTGGTGGCCATGGTAACAATGTGACATCATTATGTTGAAAGAAGTCTATTGTGACTCTTGCAACGTGTGGTCGGGCATTATCTTGTTGGAAAGTTGGATCTGCCAGGGTGTCAAGATAGGGTAAAAGATGGGGTTCTAGAACTCCGTGGATATAAAGCTGCACGTTCATGTTACCTCTGATGAAGATTAAAGGTGACCTGGAACCATAAGCTATAGCACCCCAAACCATAACTCCAACAGTGTGATGAACATGTATTTCAACAAAAAACTGTGGATTCCTCCTTTCACCACGTCGCCTTCTAACCCTGGCACGACCACCGTGCATGCCTAAACAAAATCGAGACTCGTCACTAAAGACAATACTGTTCCATTCCTGATCCCAGAGTGACCGTTGTCTGCACCACTCAAGGCGATTACGTCGGTGTTCTCGAGTTAAAGGGGTTACCCAGTGTGGCCGGTATGAAAACAAGCCAAAACTTCTCATTCGTCGGTAAACACTTCGCATGCCAATAGGTCTTCCGTGTTCTGCAAACCATTCATCTGCAATGGACCTGGTAGTGGAGAAACGGTCCCTTAAGGCCAATAATCTTAGGCGGCGATCTTCACGGTCTGTTGTTCTACGGCGGCGTCCAGTGCCCCTTGCTCTTTGCGTACGGCCTTCTCGAAGCCATGCCTGACAACACCTAACCACAGTGTCTACGCTTCTTTGCACTCTAACTGCAATTGCCCGAAAAGAAAGTCCAGCTTCCCGAAGTCCCACTATACGGCCCCTATCAAACTCACTAAGTTGACGAAATCGTACAGGTCTCCGTACTCTAGGCATCGTAACCGATCGTAAAGGATGTCAAGAACCAAAATCCGCCAACGTTGATTCTTTACTGCGGCTGAAATATTCATTTTTAGAGCGTTAGTGAATTAAAAAAAAGCAGTATAAAAACCGGAATGTCCAACTGATAAGACTGAAAATTTTTTCACTTGTTATTTACAGTAAGATAAATACATTCACCAACTTTCATTAAAATAAAACCATTTAAACTGGGTGTTCGGATTTATATGTCACTTAGTATATTTGAAGTTTTGTTAGTTTCACATGTGGCTCTAGATGACTTTTTCGACATTCCGAAAGAAATAGTTGATCTAAAAAAAAATGCATTGGTAGGATTTTTTTATGAAAAGGTATCTAACTCATGTCTTAACAGGCTGGCGAAAACCGCATCTCGATATCTTGTTCCTAACCTAAAATTTAAGCCAAAGAAGATTTTATAGCGAAATCCCTTAAATTTTTATTTCTTAAACAAATTTTTCTGGAAAAATGTTTTGCGTTATTTTGAAAATACTACAAAATATCGCTAAAAGGTGAGTAATACTAATAACAAAATGCATATTTGTTTAAATACATTCTCAGTATGGTTATATACGAAAAAGGCAATTAATAGAAGCAGTCCATGAAATACACACGCACAATTAATGAAAATAAAAATATCGAACTTTGTTAGGGTTACAAAATTCGGAGAGTCTTACTTTGATTCAAAAACATCAATTATCAAGTTTTCCGAATTTTTTGATATCCAAGATTTGTCGGAGCAGTTACAATATGCGAGCCCCTTCCCACTTCAGTTGGCCCAACTATTTAAATCTTAGTTTTTTTCTTATCAAACACAAATAATAAAAATGTAGCAGGGTGTTATAGGTTTAATATATTAACAATGAATATTTTGATAATATATAGTAGAAAACACCAACTTTATCACTCCCTTATTAAATTTGCAGCATAAAAATAACACATGTTGCAATTACAGCATATCAACCCATTTCCATTTCAATGCAAAATAAGTCTATAACGCATAGGTGGCTGTGAAAAATAAAAGCCATGACAATTGTTTTTATTAATCACAGCTGTCAGAATACGTTTAAAATATGTAGTTTTGGGTAGTTAAGGTTTTCAAAATGGGTAGAGGAAAGGTTACACTGATCAACAGGCAAATAATATCCTAAATAAAATCAACAAAATACTACTATTTTTAATGTGCTAAAACCGGAATGAAACTTATTTTTTCAATATTAGTTCAAGTTTTAGAGATACGGTAATTATATGTGTTCCTGCTGTGACAGTGTTAATATACTGTAATTCACAAGAATGCACGTGCTACATTTTTATATTCGGCAAGGAAAGATGATGTAATCGGCATGATTGTGTTACGTTATACATACGTGTACATTATATTGTTTTATATTAGCCATTTTTTCCTCAGTTGGCTGACAGCGTTCATGCAAGTTGTCTCGAAAGTGTGTAAACAATCCAGATCAGTTTTGTTACGTGTGTGGTGATGTGGCTTTTGCGTCTCAGAGACGGTCTATTACTCCACTAATAACAAAGGCATATCAGCTTTATTTCGGTTGTAAACTAGGTGATCAAGGCAAACAGTGGGCACCCCACATCTGCTGTAATACATGGGCTTCAAGTCTGAGGAGCTGGTTAAATGGCAAAAAAACGGTCTATGCGCTTTGCTGTCCCAATGGTTTGGAGAGAGCCTACAAATCATATTAATGATTGTTACTTTTGCATGGTACCTTGTGTTGGACAAGCCACAGGTATGTCCAAGAAAAAAAAATCGGTTATTAACTACCCAAACATACCATCTGCGATGAGACCTGTGCCTCACAGTGACGAAAATCCTATTCCAAAACCCCCAGAATCCTACACTTGCGAATCAGATCATGGCGATCGAGTGATTCGTCAGGAAGAAGATATGCCATCAACGTCAAGAGATCCTGATTTTATACCGAGCACATCATGCCACCAACCGCACAAAATAACACAGTCAGAATTAAATGATCTTGTAAGAGATTTAGAACTTCCAAAATGTAAGGCAGAGTTACTTGGATCAAGACTGCAGCAGTGGAACTTGTTAGAAGACGATGTTTCGGTATGTGTTTTTCGTAAACGCCACAAAGACTTAGAACCATTTTTCAATATGGAGAATAACTTGGTTTTCTGCAGTAACATTAACGGTTTACTGGCGGCTTTAAATATAAACTATAACCCAGAAGAATGGAGATTGTTTATAGACAGTTCAACATTGAGTTTAAAGGCATTGCATATTGGAAATATTTTACCATCCCTTTCTGTAGGGTATGCAGTTCACATGAAAGAATCATATGACAATATGAAGTACCTATTGACATGCATAAAATACGATGAGCACCAATGGCATATTTGTGGCGATTTGAAAGTTGTTGCACTTTTACTTGGGCTGCAGCTAGGCTACACAAAGTTTTGCTGTTTTTTGTGTGAATGGGACAGTCGGGCAAAGGCACTTCATTACACCAGACAAAACTGGCCTGTTCGTCAATTCCTAGAGCCAGGTCAAAAAAATGTACAGCATATGCCATTAGTAGATTCGAAAAAAAATTTATTACCACCACTGCATATCAAGTTGGGTCTAATGAAAAACTTTGTAAAGGCATTAGATAGAGATGGGTCAGCTTTTCAATACCTGCGTCAGAAATTTCCAAGACTAAGTGAGGCAAAGGTTAAAGAAGGTATTTTTGTTGGGCCACAGATTCGAAATATTTTGAAAGATACACAGTTTGAAAACACTTTAACAGGTATTGAAAAAACTGCTTGGAATGATTTCCGTCTGGTGGTCACTAATTTCTTGGGAAATAAAAAAGCTGACAACTATAAAACCCTTGTCAAAAATATGCTGTCATCGTATCAAAAGATGGGCTGTAATATGTCTCTTAAGATACATTTCCTACACTCACACCTGGACTTTTTTCCTGACAATTGCGGAGCCGTAAGTGATGAGCACGGCGAACGTTTTCATCAGGATATTTCAACAATGGAAAAAAGGTACCAGGGCAAGTGGAATCTTTCCATGCTTGCAGACTACTGTTGGACTCTTGGTAGAGATGCTCCAGAAACGATCCATAAAAGAACAGCAAAAAGACAGCGCATATAGTGATTCTTATAAGTATATGAATCTTGTTACTTTTTTTAATATATCCTTAAAAGTAAAAAGTTTTTTTCTAAACCGCAACTAATTTTGTTATTTCATTGTCATTTTTGGATTTAGCGCCCCAAAATTAACAAAGAAGTGCACTTTTCCCACAAGATACAATTAAAAAACTAAAATTTGTTGTCCAGTGTTATTAGTGAGAAAATTCGGTTACTAATAATTAAATTTTTTAATTCTGGGAAATCAAACTCAGAAATTGCAACTTTGTTAGACTTATCGCGGTACAGTGTGAGAAATATTGTTAGAAGATATAACGTAACTGGTTCAGTTAATATTAGGCCACGTTATGTGAAAAAAAGTAAATATCTCAAATGCCGACCGAAGAGCATTAAGAAGAATAATCGTAAAAAACAGGCGTGCCAATTATTTACAATTAAGTGCTCTGTGGACTGACGCTGTTGGAAGGAGAATTTCGAGGTCTACAACTCATAGAGAGGCCCACAAACTGGGATTTAGCACTTGCAAGGTAAGTTTTCTTATAAAAAAAGTGAAGTAAAAACCCTAAAGTTGCACAACTTCTTTATAGGCCAAAGAAAAGCCACTATTAACTCCACTGCAAAAGAAAAATCGGCTTAGATAGGCTAAAGAACATAGACAATGGACACCTTAACAATGGTCTGCAATACAATGGACTGATGAGGCCCGGTTCGAAGTTTGTGTTGGTGACAGTCGCAGTAGAGCTATTCGCAAAAAAATGAAGCATTCCATGTTGACTGTCTGAAGAGAAAAGTGAAATTTCCAGCATCCATTACGGTCTGGAGCAGTATGTCATCAAAAGGAGTAGGAAGACTTCATTTTATTGACGGAAATGTGGATACAAACAAATATTTGGCAATTGTAGAAGAATCCACCAGTGATGGAAGAATGTTTGACATCCGGCCAAGATTTTGTGTTTCAGCAAGATGGTGTAGCGTGCCATACCTAAAAAAAGGCTATAAAATGGATGGAAGAAAATAATGTACCACTTTTGAAATGGGTTTCTAGCAGTCCAGATCTGTCACCTATTGAAACTTGTGGCACGAGATGAAAAAGGTTCTACGAAAACTTCCTGCTCGTACAATCACCGAACTGAGACAAAAGCTTCAAGAAATATGGGATTGTTTTACACCAAATTTTTGCCAAAACTTGGTTAACACTATGCCCCAAAGAATTTCAGCCGTGATAAAAAATAAACGTGATGTTACCCAATAGTAATCTTTCAATTGTTGCTTTGTTAGCTTCGCGCATTTATTCGCTCATTGTTTATTTGTTCAGATGTTCTATTAGTTATATGTCTAGTGATTTCAAATATGTATTTTTTACGACTAGAGTGTATCTAAAATGTTTTTGAGAAAATAAATTGTTTTATAAGTAAATAGTTTCGTCACGTTTAGTTTATAAAGGCATATTTTGGTACAAATCTTGAAGTGGGCCAACTGAAGTGGGAAGGGCTCGTACATCATTCAGTAAAAATGCAATTTGTTCTTATCAATACCAAATTCATTAACACTAGACAAACAACTTTACCGAAATTAATTAAACCAATGCAATAAACATAATTAAATTGTTTTACTTGAAGCAATTAAACTCATTTTAATAGTTCATTAATTTTAAGTAAATTGATCTACTCAATCTAAGTAAACGGTGTAATAAATTTAATTGAAAGATTGCATTTTAGATTAATAAAACTAGCTTAATAGATTCAAGTAAGCTGTCTTAGAAATCGGACTTTAATTAAACTAAATAAACTTGTTAGCTGTCACATAGTTAATTAGATTTCTTAATTGACCTAATTAAAATTTTACTCAGTTTAATCAATTTTTTTCTCAGTGTAGCTGTTCTTAACGATTAGATATAATAAATAGACACGTACCCTTGGGCAAGTGAGGAGGCAGTTCAAATTTATAAGCATCTTCTCCTCTATTTTTGTGCTTATGAGGTCGTCGTTTTCTGTACGCTCTGTGTTCGTCTTCTGGGAAAAATTTCTGCGCTGGCGGTGCGTCTAGGTTCAGTACTCGACTGCTGGCCCTTTGAGGTTGAGGTGGAGGGTCTTTGTCACCTTCAGGAGGAACAGCCTCGCTGCTACCTGGGAAAGGTATTTGCTGGTAGAAAACATACAAAACAACCCAGAATGACTAATTTTTCGTTCTATAATTCTCCGGAAAGATATTGTTTTTGGCAATATGGCACGCAAAGTTATCTTTTTGAATATAGCAAAAAACTTAAGGTGTTCACTTTGCCCGGCAGGGGTATTACATAACTTGAGAACTAACAATATGTCAGTTTTTGGACATTATGTTGGGTTTTTATGCCATTATGTAGGTTTTCCTATAGGATATCAACTTGGAACTAGCTTCATGCTCACCTGTAGCTAGCGTGGACTAACTATTTGTACGCTAGCCTAGTTACTCAACTAGTTGACATTTTATCGTTTTTTCTATATTATACAGGGTGTCCCAGAAGTCGACGTCAAGCCGGAACCGGGTGATAGGCAAAGTCATAACAGCTATCAGAAAAATATTTAAAAAAAATGTATGTATGTATTTTGAAAATTATAGGTCTTTGAAAAAGATGTAGAAATTTCACACCCTTCGGCAGTCTGTCAACTCCTGTTACTACAAATATTAATTTTTGGATTTTATTTTTACAATGTAATGATGAATAATGCATCTTCAAATTGGTGTCTCAACCTTACTGCCAACTTTTCTCGTTCAGGAAAAATTGCCACTTATTTCCCAACCAAGTATTCCAAAGTAAAACTTTGCTCAACTTTAACTGGCTGTACTGGAAAAAATGTACTACGAGAGTTTGGCAAGTAACCTTAAAAGTTGGAGCATTTAATAACGATTCCAAAATGGTATAACACTTAGAAGATTACTCGTTAACTTATGCACAATTTTTATTTGAAAAAAAACTGATGAAAATTTTTCATCATTTCCTAATTAAACAGCGATTATGAAAACGCACAAGGGCCCATAAGGATAAATGTTTGCACAACAGTGGGGTCAAAATGCTGCTGATGATGATTTACCTTTACAGCAAATGCTCAAACTGTTTTCCTTCAGCCGCAATACACGCTCGACATCTTCTTAAAAAAGATCGGGTTATTAAACGAGCGAATCCACGGTTATTAACAAACTCAGCTGCTTCCAATAGTCTTTGCCGTAGCTCAGCTACATTTTGAATCGGCTTGAAATACACTTTTTCTTTTACAGTTCCCCAGTAAAAAAATCTGAAGGATTCAAATCAGGTGATCGGGCTGGCCACGGTATTGTACCAGACCGCCTTATCCATCTGCCTGGAAAGTTTTGATCGAGATACTCTCTCACTAAGAGTGCATAGTGCGCTGGGCAGCCATCATGCTGAAACCACATGTCCCTGTAAATACTCAGTGGCACGTCCACCAATAAATTTTGTACATGATTTTTCAAAAAATCCAAATAAACTTCAGCAGTCAAAGTCTCTGGGAACTCAAACGGACCGATTATTTTACCATTCAAAATTCCTGTCCAATGGTTTATCTTGAAGCGATATTGAGATTTATCTTCTCTCATCAAATGTGAGTTTGCTACGTGCCCCTCATGTAAGTTATGCAGGTTCATGTACCCATCTTTCTTAAATGTGGTCTCATCCGACCATCAAATTTTTTCAAAGAACTGTGGATCTTTCCTGTGTCTTTCTAACATTGTGCGACAAAAAGCAACTCGGGGCTCATAATCCCGGGGCAGGAGAGGTTGAACACGCTGTATGTGGTTTGGATGAAGCACATCACTTAGTTGCTATTGCACACTTTGATACCGATCAGTACTCCTTCGTTTACTGCGCATCTTTACATGTTCGTGCTTGTTGATTTCGTACTGTTACTAATTTTGGATTCGTGAACTGGACTGTTGATCGCTTGTGATTTGGATTTGTACTGTTTAATTGCTCTTCAAAACAACATTTGCTTTCCTTAGACTATCTTTGATAGTGTGATTGTGCAGTGCCGCTATGTCCGTGTACACCGTACAAGAATATGCTAACATGCACCTCATTTATGGGGAATGCAGATGCAACGCTAGTGCTGCAGCGAGACTTTACTGTAAGAGGTACCCGAATGCAGCTCGTCATCCAGATCATCGAGTGTTCACAAATGTGCACCGCTTACTGTTCTTAGAGGGCCAACTACCAAACCAATCACACGGTGAGGGAAGATCTTTCCTTCCTTACGAAAACGTGGTGCTAGGAGCTGTCAAAGAAGACCCGAGTACTTCAGTGCGTGCAATAGAACTAAAAACAGGTGTGCCCAAAAGTACAGCCCATAGAATCTTGGAAAAAAAACGTGCTCCATCCATACCACGTATAGCATGTTCAAGCTCTTCTGCCCCGGGATTATGAGCCCCGAGTTGCTTTTGGTCGCACAATGTTAGAAAGACACAGGGAAGATGCACGGTTCTTTGAAAAAATTTTATGGTCAGATGAGACCACATTTAAGAAACATGGGTACATAAACCTGCATAACTTATACGAGTGGCACGTAGCAAACCCACATTTGATGAGAGAAAATAAATCTCAATATCGCTTCAAGATAAACCATTGGACAGGAATTTTAAATGGTAAAATAATCGGTCCGTTTGAGTTCCCAGAGACTTTGACTGCTGAGGTTTTACTTTGGAATACTTGGTTGGGAAATAAGTGGCAATTTTTCCTGAACGAGAAAAGTTGGCAGTAAGGTTGAGACACCAGTTTGAAGATGCATTATTTATCATTACATTGTAAAAATAAAATCCAAAAAAACTTAATATTTGTAATAACAGGAGTTGACAGACTGCCGTAGGCTGTGAAATTTCTATATTTTTTTCAAAGACCTATAATTTTCAAAACACATACATACAATTTTTTAAAATATTTTTCTGATAGCTGTTATGACTTTGCCTATCACCCGGTTTCGGCTTGACGTCGACTTCTTCTATAGGTTTTATTACGTAATAACCCCGCGGCTCTCCACTGTAAATAAAATTTTGATATAACGGTGCTTACCTTTTGATGATTCAGCCACATTGTCATTCACAATTAATGACCTGCTTTGGATCTGTGTCTTTGGGGTGATTGGGATCCAGTCATTTGTATCATATGCTGGTCCTTGTTGAGCTGTGGTGTAGGACAAGAAAACGAGGATGGCAACTGTAACAGTGTACTTTGATTTGCAGGCTTCCTGAAAAGATAAACAACATTGAAGTACTAATACTGAGATACTTTCGAAACGTTGGCTACATAGATATATTATTACAAAACAGATTTCAAGGAGATGGAAACATTCAATATGATCGTAACGGTTTGATACTGCTTTGCTGCAAAGCTATGAATTCAGGAAAGGTCGTCGATTTCTAAGAGGATCAGTGTCGGAGCCAACACCGATCCCTTTCAAACATCCGCGTTGACGAGCTTAGTCCACAATTGCGGAGAAGTAAGCTAGGAGGTCTTCTGCGGATCGCTGGTGCCGCTGGCGATATTCGAGGTAGTCCAGAAGCTCGCAATTTATGCACCTCGCCGTCACCTTATAACAGAAAACAGAGCTATAGGCCTATAGTTTGTAAGGATCGGTCTTAGATCCGTTTTTGGGATGGGTTGAACATGAGCAAATTTCCAGTTGTCTGGGAAGGTGCCAAAATATATCTGGAAACGTTCCATCCTCGAGCAGGAAATCCGGCTGCAAACCTCTCCCGTTCTTTCTCAGATTGGAGTGCACCTTGTAATTTGGAAAGCTAAGGTGATTAATCGGTGCAGAATCTTTTGTCTCCGCCAAGAAAGGCATAGCGGGACGATTGGTTTGCAGGTAGTGATGAACAGCATCAATGTTGCTGTTAATTCGGCAGATGTTCGTGAACAAAATTTTATCATCGATGTTGCTCCCTCGAGTCCACCCTCCACCCAAACATTCTGAGAGAGGAGTGAGTTAACGTCTGGAGACGCTTGCAGGTGGTGCCGCCTCGGTCGACTGGTCCTTGACTACCACCTTCTTGCATGTTAATGATGTTAAATAGACGTGAAGTGACCCGATGGCGGACTTGTACCGACAACCGCTTCTGAGGAATTCCTTAACGCGTGTACAGTTACTTGAACAGGAAGATGTTGTATACTGAATACAACAACTTCCGGAACGCATTTGCCACGGACCCGCTCAGTGGGTGGTGCCAGGATCGAGCGAAATCTATATCAGATTAGTTGAGATGGGTGAACATTTTTATCTGACACCTGCGCCATGCGAGCAGCTTTTTGCGACTAACAGCATTTTCACAACTTCCAGGCAACCAGTTATACAACCTTCTGCTTACTAGTTCGATTGGATCACTATTCGTAGTGAAAGAGTGAACGAGTTTTTCATGGAATGATGCACTAGTTTACTCAGTTCAATCATAAGAATCGTTCAATTGAACTAGTTCGTTCGCGAACTGCATACTACTGCAAGCACGCACAATACTTTACACCCTGTAAAATGTTCACTTGAGACTTGGAATGCTAAGAAAGGCACTGCTGGCATACACATTTCAACAACCACTTACGATCCTGGTACATTCAACGCGTGTTCGTGAGACCATGAGCACGCTCAGGAGCAGGCCCTTTTAGTTCATTTGAATATTGTTCCAACCGCTGAAAGATCTAAGTGTCTGTGTGTTGTGATCTTGTGTATATGTCCTGTGTATTTTCTAAACATGGCACCATTATAATCACGACAATAATTGTCATTATTCAAAAACAGTCAGATGAGATATGTTTATCAACAGTTAAGATAAAGTTAGACGTAACTTAGTGTCAAAAAACTATAGAGGTATGACGCCTTCAGATTCTGGAGGCTGTTGTGAGTCTTACAGTGCCAGGTTGTCAGAGGGGGAATTACCGCTCGGCTTCCTCTGTCAAGGGAAATGTCAGAGCGCTTTGGATATTGACACAACGGTCATTTGCCGACGTGGTATCCTAGATCTGTGTGACCGCCTAGCTTCCTCCCGGGGCAACCGCTGGAGTCTGAAAGTATCTCATGGCAAGATGTGTTTCAGGGATTGTTACTTTAAAGTTATCATGCTTTTCGAGTCAAAGGTAACGCCGGAGCTTTTGGGTATTTTCACGGCATCGAGATATCCTGGTTTCTGGGGCGTTTTTCCCGCCGTTCCTCTATTCAAGGTATTTCCATATCAGGCGTGACTTATATGCGATAGGAAGCTACCGTTCTCCCGTGCAAGGTATTTCCATATCGGGCGTGTCTTCCTTGCGGTAGGAAGCTAACGATCCCCCGCGCAAGGTATTTGCATATCGGGCGTGACTTCCTTGCGGTAGGAAGCTACCGTTCCTCCGTGCAAGGTATTTCCATATTATGCGTGACTTTCATGTGGTAGGAAGCTACCGTTGCATCATGCAACGTACTTCCATATCAGGCGTGACTTCTATGGGATATGAAGTTACAGTTCCCCCGTGCAAGGTATTTAGCATATCGGGCGTGACTTCCTTGCGGTAGGAAGCTAACGATCCCCCGTGCACGGTATGTCCATATCAGGCGTGACTTCCTTGCGGTAGGAAGCTAACGATCCCCCGTGCAAGGTATTTCCATATCAGACGTGACTTCAGTACGGTAGGAAGCTACCGTTCCTCCGTGCAAGGTATTTCCATATCAGGCGTGACTTCCATGCAGTATGAAGCTACCGTTCCTCCGTGTAAGTTATTTACATATCAGGCGTGAGTTCCATGCGGTATGAAGCTACCGTTCCCCCGTGCAAGGTATATCCATATCAGGTGTGACTTCCATGCGTTAGAAAGCTACCGTTCCACAGTTTATGGATGTAGGTGTAAATTTCATGCGGTAAGATTTAATGTGTCATAATTCCTAAAATAATAATTGAGAGATATTGTGGTTATTATTATATGGTTTTATGATCAGTATCAAGCGAGCTAATCAACATAATGAATAGACAGTAGAGTTGTTTATGGCATGAGTCGATAGAATATAGAGGTTCTATCGACCCTAAGCCTCGCCAGGGAAGGATAGCTCCCCCTTTGTTACATCACCAGGTAAGTGGTTTTTAAATTATCCTGACATTGAAGCCCTTATTAAGGTGTTTATGTACTCCCCTCGTAATAAAAGTGAAAGGGTACAGGGTAGTACTTCGAACGCTTGTAAGGTGAGATTGTTGTTTTCTCATATTTACCCATCATTATCATCGTGGTATCCTTCTATCCTACTATCTTCGACTCGGCATGAAACTTAGTTTGTCCCAAATTCGCATGGAAGTAAAATATCGATGCACGAATAATATTCACATCTGAAAACATTACAAATTTTTTGACTTAAGTATTGTGGCTCCTTCATCATTTAGTGGTTTAAACATAATTTCTCTCGTTATTTTCGAACATACTCTCTGCCCTAGGAATACTGCCTTTGTTTTTTGAATCACCCTGTACGCAGTAGGAAACAAGTGGCCAGTCGCCATTCAAACGAGTTATTGAAGCAAATATTTCTAGAAGGAATGCGTTAGAACGGCAGCGGACCTACAAGAACGCCTTGCAGGCTAAACTGGGGCACAACGATCTGCCTTCCAAAACCACTTTCACTTTTATCAAGACCAAAACAATTTTTCGCAGGAATGAATACTTGTCGATGATCGATTTTCAAAGTCATGTATTTATTCATCAGGTAAAAGTTTACGTCTGTAATGAACCTTTGTATGTTAATGATATATACTGACAACTTTTTTTCATATCATGCTCGGTCGATTGTGATTACCGGCACGAAAGTTATACAAAACGAGTAATCTAATTAAGTTGAAGTGAAAAGCTTCATTCATCATCCAAGCTTATAAAAGTTCAAAGGCCCCAGATATATGGTTCTCACGTTGAAAACCACTATTTTGTTATAGGATGATTAGTAAGTTGTATAATTTGTAACATTTATAATAATAATAAATAAGGTTATTGGTGTAGCCGTAGGAGAGAGCTAGATCTGTGAGAATGGGTCCCGAGATTGTCTGTTAGAGACGAGTCATCGATCAATCGGACAGCCCTCCTCTGACAGCATCGAGCATGGATAATTTAGTAGGAGCGGCAGTACCCGAAAGATATTGCTCGATGATCTGGACTGCGACCAGTCGAAATGAACGGCTCCTCGGCCATCCATCGAAATCGTATGAGCGCTAAGATGCTGTTTGTTCGTAAAGGTGCGGTATTGTGTTTTGGAAGCACTGAACTGTACAAGATTGTTGCGTCCCCGAGCAGTGCCAATCTCCAAGTCTCTTGTCAGAGAGGAAGTCGCTGGTACAAAATTCCGTTGATTCTACATAAAAAACGGAGGTTATGTAGACTTCACCTGCCTAAAGTCTTAAAAAATAGGCAGTAATTACAAAATCTGCTACGTCAGTTGTCAAAGCAACCGATTATTTGATCACAAAGACTTATTTAAGGTTGTTCAAAGCCTACTGCTTGAATACTTTTTATAGTAAGCAACATAATTCAACTTTTACGAAAGACTACCAGTTATAACGTCAAGAGGCAGCAAATCAGCTAAGTAGATGGCGTGAGAAATCTAAATCTACATACAGTTCATAAAACATTGAGGTGGTACAATTTAAAAACCGGTACAATACTCGTACTTTCCCCAATATGGTTATCATGAAATGTTTGTAGGTTTTTCTATTTCATTCAGCCATGTTTGCACAACAAATAACTGTCATTTATTTCCGTTGGTAATACATATCTTTTTTATTACCTTGTAGTCCGGTGAAAGTGGAATGATATGCGTGTAAAGTCAGAGTTAGGACAAAGGACGTTCCCATAAACAAGTTGCGAGCACGGTGCATTTAGGATTTTTTGTGACATTATGTAGGTTTTTCAACAAGATGTCAACTTAGCACTATACTATAACTATCTAAAACTGTAATGACTCATCGATGTTCACGTGAACATCACTTAACTACCAGTAGTCGGTTGTTCATAGGCGGGGTATGAATGTTTAACATGGGTGAACTAGATTTGTCACATGCTTAATAAAGAGTGGTTTGAAACATATTGTAAGTCAAAAATTTGGGAATTACCTTTATTCATCGTCGCTTCCACTTACATCTGACAGTAATAAACTGTCGCTATCGCTTTCCTCGTTGAAATTGACTATAACTGGCTCTATGATGGTGTCGATGTGGTGGTCAAGCTGCCACATTTTTGTTTCTTCCTTCACAACATGACGGATAGCATTCTGCCAAGCTTCGGGCGTAACTAGCTGTATGGAAGTCTCAAGTAAAACCTTAACGTCTGGTAATTTGAAGGTTGTGTTATGGCGCGCAATATAACCCTTCACTTGAGCCCAGATGAGCTCCATTGGGTTCAGTTCACAGTAGTAGGGCGGTAACCGCAGCACAGTGACACCACATTGACGGGCCATCTCATCAGTCACGTAACTAATGTTCGCAGGTCTGTGCTGTTTAATTTTATTCATACAATTCCGCTTTCACACATGAGTCATCAAACGGGATTCCTTTTTCGCGCAACCATTGCTGCATGTCACTTTTTCGAGATCCCATAGTCGGTACACGTTCGGCTCGACGACTATGGTAGGAAACATTATCCATGACGATCACAGAGTTGGGTTCAACTCGCTGAAGCACCCCTTGAAACCAGCTCTCGAAGCAGCTGGCATTCATTTCGTCATGGTAATCACCTCCTTTCTTAGAGACGAAAATCAAGTCACACTCTTCTAAAAAGCCACTATCGCTACCAATATGAGTTACGATCAATCTTTGACCTTTCCCTGACGGTCCACGGAGACCTGTTGACAAACCTTCAATGCTTGCTTATCGGTTACTCACTACGTTTTTGTCTATCCAGGTTTTTTTAACTGTGTGACCTGCATTTACCCATGTCTCGTCCAAATAATAGATTTTTCTGCTTTGTCGCCTATATTCAATCATTTCGCGTAAGTATCTTCGACGCCAGGCGACTATTTCAGGTATCTCTATCAATACTGAGTTCTGATTACGCGTTTCGTAACAAAAATTAATCTCGTGCAGGGATTTCCTCATTACCTCGACGCTCATTTGGGGTATAATTTCATTTTCCTTGATCGCTGCATGTACAGCCTTGAGGATTGGTATCTCATTCCTAAAGAAGAATGAATGTACGGTTCGCCTTAACGCCATTTTGCTATCGTCATCCAATTTAACGGCCTTTCGTCCCTTCAAATTAAACTTTGGATCAGTAGTAGCTCCAGTTTTCTTCTTTTCATGCACCATCCTGCGAATGGTCCACTCTGGAACGCCTGTCATACTTTCACAACGCGCGATTGCATCTCCCTGCGACATAGTTCTGTTCAGATAATTGAACACGTTGAGCACGATTTCTTTCGCGTCCCTCTTCAGTGCTTTACGAAGCCGTCTACTTGTTCCCTGGCTTTCAGTACTTCCACTCGTGCCATTTGTACTATCCATGGTTAAGTATAACCAAAACAGTAACCACAGAAACCACAACAATAACAATCACACAACAATTCTTATAAAAACACCCAATATGCGATCGCTCAACGAAACACGTTCCAATGCGTTGCCGACGCCTATGAGTCTGCCGGTCGAGGCGCGTCTTTGATTTCATTGGTTCTACCGGCGGAGAACAATCAGCCATTATTTCCATCTCTGTCTGTGCTGTTGACCACCGCAAAGCCACAGAAACGACATATGTCGTACGCTATACGGCTGTACTGGAAGGCAGCCGGGATCGAGCTCTGATCACATGTTGATCACGAGTATGAGCAGTTTTAAATAGTTGCAGTATAGCTGTTGTTCACTTGTGTACTCGTTTTGTAGCTGTGCGTGTTGCCTAAACGTCATGACGCTTCAGCTATCAGTGTCTGCATAATGAGGATTCGTATGCTAATAATCTGTGCCGATGATAATAGGAAGGTTCGCCATTTTTACTCAAATCGAGAGATTTTGTTATTAAAGAGCGATAAAAAAACTGAGCAAAAAATATTGATATTTACGTCGACTAAAAGCATTTCAAAATAAAGGATCGGCGCGCGGCTGGAAAACGTGCTTGTGCGCGAGACTAGACCGCGTGACGTCAGTAGCCAGACACACCTCGCCAGCTGGCCCGCTGCATTTACCATTCTCGCAACAACGCCCCAGTAATCGGTTTGGAGTAGTTAGAGCTGGTACGATAGATTATTGTTAAATTCTGTGAACTTTGACGGTGTTAAATGTCGAACAGAAGGTGGTGTTTTGTGCCAAAATGTACAAGTACGTCAAGTACAACACCACAAAAAAAAATTGGGAGCGTTCCAAAAGCTGCCGCACAACGTAAAAGTGGTTTCTTCCACGTCGACCATCTGCTGCTGCGAAGATCATTTTGACCTGGAAAAAGATATGGAAAACTATCTACAATACAAGATGAGTACCGTTCGAGCCCGGATGAATCGTAATATTGCACCTCATAAATTTGCATGTTAACAATTAAGCTCTACGAAACGAGTGTTCAGCGAAAAAAGGACAAGGCACAAAGACATCGCCAAATATTTGCACCAAGCGGCAGCACGCCGGGCGGGACCCTCAACCGAAAAGTCCGAGCCTGAAGGCGTGGAAGTTATTGACGAGGACCATGATGAACTGCCTGAACCTTTAACAGTAGAAGTTCAGTCACAGGTATGTGAAAGACACTTAAACATAACCAACTGCAGAGTCTCCGTAATCTTCTTTCCCAGATCTAAAACAAATTGTTCTAAGCGCAATATTAGTCAACGTTTAGAACCTGGCTTCATTGCCCATCCCCTGAATGCAGCCCTAAACTTTGTTATTTTAGTATCTATAAAATTCTATAATGTGACTGCCCCCCCTAATTTAAGTATTCCCCAGTAGACCCTAAAAAATAAGATTCTCTCTACATCCCTGGAATTTCTCTCATTGAAAACATATTAGGTACCATACTTTACTTCAGAATAGTGCATTAAAGCCTCATTATGCATGCAAAAAGAACCAATTTCGGAGCTCTTAATATTCGTAACAAGGTAAAAAGGTATGTATGATAATTTAAATTCCATAATAATGGGTTGTCCAATAGGGACGCAGGAAAGTAAACGTCAATTTGACATAGACGCCATCTTTGTTTTCTGTCACCGACATGTCATTTTGTTAGTTGAATGATCGCTATGGAGTCGTATTCGATTGAAGACCGCATTAAAGTTATTCAAGAGCACTACAAAAATGGTGCCAAAATAAAAAACACGTTTCGTGCGCTTCGTGAACATTTCGGTCGCAACAACCGCCCAAACGAAACAACCATCGGTCGTCTGGTGCGTAAATTTGAGGCAATAGGTTCTGTGGCAAATCTGCCAGGCTCTGGCCGGCCAAGGAGCGTTCGCACACCGGAAAATATTGTTGTTGTGAAGGAGAGTGTGAGAGACGATCCGAAACAATCAACAACGCGTCGATCCCAAGAATTGGGCATTTCGAGAACCAGTTTGCTCCGCATTCTCCACAAGGATTTGAATGTACACGCCTACAAGATCCAATTGACGCAAGAGCCGACCATTTTTCGCTCCGAACGTTCTCAGATTGGCCCCTTGAACATCGCCAAATTGATGCCAATTTTTCATCAAAAATCATGTTCAGCGACGAAGCGCATTTCACTTTGAATGGGACGGTAAACAAGCAAAACTGCCGCATCTGGGCGAACGAAAATCCCCGTGAGTATCAAGAGCAGCCGATGCATCCTCAAAAAGTGACTATGTGGTGTGCATTGTGGTCAAAAGGCATCATCGGACCTTACTTTTTCGAAAATGCGGCCGGGGACGCCGTTACCGTCAATTCCGAGCGATGTCACGTGATGATAGAGGACTATTTTTTGCCGCAACTTGAAGGAATGGATATGGAAGATGTTTATTTCCGACAAGACGGTGCAACATGCCACACAACCAACGTCAATATCCATCGATTGCAGTCCTTCTTCGGTGATCGCGTGATTTCGCCCAGAGGAAATGTGCCATGGCCACCAAGATCGTGCGATTTGACTCCCTTGGGCTTTTTTTTATGAGGATATTTGAAAAGCAAAGTCTACGTCAACAAACCAGCCACCCTCCAAGAACTCAAAAACAACATCATTGCCGAGATAAATGCCATAGAACCGACCATGTTGCAAAATGTCATTGAAAATTTCGACCATCGCGTGGACGTCTGTAAATCCAGTCGTGGTGAACATTTGAGCGATATTATTTTTCATACATAAATGGTATAAATGAACCTTCAAAATAAAGTACCCAACTTGATTTGAATGTCAATCTTTCTTGTTTTAATATGCGTTTACTTTCCTGCGTCCGTCCATATTTTACCTAGGAGGAAAAAAGCAGAGATAAATAGCCTTCAAAATCATTGTCACGAGCAGGCATTATTATGTCTTAATATTATTAGCTTTCAATAGACTAAAGCAAAGCAGGATCAATTTTTGCGGAGAAATACAAAAAAATACTACCCATTGGAGCTAAACAAAAAAATTGGCTTCATATAGGTACTTACCGAACTACTTTAACACCGCTGCTCTGAGGTTTATTTAGATTTGCATTATTTGCCACAAACTCGTACGCCATTTCCACCTTCACATGGGGTAAATTTCGCGTATCAGCTTTCCGATAACCTTGGAGCATCGTGCTAGCACAAATAAATAAAGTACTCAAACGTCGGTCTCAGTTTATATAAATTCGTATTCGTATACTCTTCACTCCGTATACAAGACAGTTGAAGATACAAGTACTCTATGAGGGCGACAGCACGTGTCTGGCTACTGACGTCACGCGGTCTAGTCTCGCGCACAGGTACGTTTTCTAGCCTCCCGTCGATTCCTGATTTTAAAATGCTTTCCGGCGACGTAAATATTGATATTTTGCACTCAAATTTCTTTGACCGTTTTTTAATAACAAAATCCCTCGATTTTAATTAAAATAAGAGAGATACGAAAAATGTCGAGCCTTCCTATTAAATTAGTTTCTTGTCTCAGATACACTTGCTTGAGATGTATGCAAAGCTAAAAATTAGTTGCGCAACCGCTTTTTCTCATTCAACCTGGAGATTACATATGCAAATTTGCTGAATTTCAAATAACGAACAAAAAAGAAAATTCCTGGTTGGTGAAGTATATTGAAACTAACAGATGAGAAAATATGGTACATATAAACGTAAAAAAGTTATTTTTACGATGTATATATATATATATATATATGGCGAGTTTCTGCAACCTAAGGTCGCTTCTCGCAACCCATACGCCATCGTATCCTATCGTTCCAGTCTCCTTCATGTAGTCCTCTACTTTCCATTGCGGTATGGATGTTTGAAATCCATTTCCTTCGTGGTCTTCCTCGTTTATTTCTTTGTGTTGGTGTCCATTTCCAAACCCTTAATGGTATCCTTTCTTCGTTCATTCGTTGCAGGTGTCCATACCATTTTAACTGCCACTCTGTTATATCGTCCATTATTGTATTTTCGACTTCCATTCTTTCTCTGATGGTCTCATTTCTAACATGGTCAAGTAAAGTTAAACCGGAACATCTTCTCCAGTACATCATTTCGGTTGAGAGAAGCTTTTGTGACATATTTTTATCTACAACCCACGCTTCTGACCCATACGTCAGTACTGGCTGAATCATAGCCTGATATATATTTTTTTTTGTTTTCTTTGTTAGGTTCTTACTCCACAAGATCGGATGTAGTGCTTTAATCATATTTTTTCCTTTTCCTATTTTCCTTAGTATGTCTTTATTATCCTTTCCGCTTTCATCTATTGTAACTCCTAGGTACTGGTACTGTCCGACGTTTTCTATTTTTCCGCTTTTTGTTTCGATGTCTTGTCCTGTGCCTCCTATAGTCATGTATTGTGTCTTTTGTATATTTATCTCCAAACCCCATTTAGTGAATTCTTCTATAAGTTTGTTTATCATGTAAGTCATGTCTTGCTGGTCTTCTACAAAGACTACCTGATCATCTGCAAAGAGGATTGTATACAAGTGAAAGTCCTCTAACCATATCCCCATGGGGCTGCACTTTCTTATCCACTGTTTTAAAGCGCTGCAGAGATAAATTTCAAACAGGGTTGGAGAGAGGCAGGAGCCCTGCTTAACACCTTTTGTTTGTGGGAAAGCCTCAGAAATTTGATTTCCAACTTTAACGACCACTTGATTTTCTCTATACATTGCTTTTACGGCGTTTATGTATTTGCTATTTATGCCTGCTTCTTTCATTGCGATCCATAATTTCTGCAAAGGGACGGAGTCGAATGCCTTGCGGAGATCTATAAAAGTAGCGTGTAGCTCCATTCCTCTTGCTAATCTCTTTTCTGTCAGTTGTTTTATTGTAAATATGTTGTCGACACAGGATCGCCCAGGTCGAAATCCACTTTGTTCTTCAAGTTCCGTGGCTTCGTCTTCTATTCGGGCTGTTAGGACTCTTTCGTACAGCTTTCCGATGGACGATGTAATACTAATACCCCGATAATTACTACAGTCACTCCTGTTTCCCTTTTTATAAATGGAATTTATGTAAGAGCTCCTCCAATCTCTGGGAATCGTTTCCCCTTCCAGGCACTTGTTAAAAATTACACAAAGTAGCTCGTGCGTTCTTGTGGTGGCGTGTTTAATTAACTCGATAGGCAAATCCCCCGGTCCCGGAGCTTTATTATTTTTTATTTTTTGTAATGCTGTTTTTATTTCTTCTAATTGAATGGTATCTACTCTGTTAACTCCCGTTTGATCTATATCTAGTTGCGTTTCTAAATGCTCTCCACGTTGTTCTGCCAGTAGATTATTGTAGTAGTCTTTCCACTGTTCTATTTTTATGGGATTTATTTTTCTTCTTTCATTCGTGTTTGTTTTAAGACCATTTATAGTTCGCCAAGCTTCTCTAGACCTAGATCCTCCTACCATTGAGCTAATTTCAGCACATTTGGTTTCCCATGTTTTGTTTTTTATTTTCTTAATTTCTGTTTTTACTATATATTTAAAACGATTATAGCTTTTTCGATCTTCATCGTTTTTTGTAGTTAACCATTTAAGATATAAGTTTTTCTTTTCTTCTACCAATTTTGTTAAATCGTCCGTCCACCAAGAATTTTTGTGTTCCGTTCTATCTTTAACACCAAGGGCTTCTAGTGCTGCTTCGTGAATTTTGTGTTTCAAAGTTTCATACATTTCTTCTGCCTTGCCGTTAATATCTTCGTCCAGTTTTTGTGCTAAACGTAGTTTGTAAAGGAAACTGGTGGATTCATCCCTTAAGCTGTCTATGTTATATCGCTTTGTGGGTTTTCCATTGTTATTTTGTTCTTGATATATGAGATGTTTATTGTAAGTAATTTCAATGGGTGCTTTTACTAGCAGGTGATCTGAACCGCACTCAGCTCCTCTCCAAACTTTTACATCATAGGGTATTATGGAAGTGTCCTGCTTAATCACGACATAGTCAATAATTGATTTCAAGTTTTTTGTTTTTTGAGTCCAAGTATATTTGTGTATGTCTTTGTGTTGGAAAAATCCGTTTAAGATTCTTAACGAGTGTTGTTCACAAAGCTCTATCCATCTGGTTCCGTTTTCATTGACTACTTCCTCTCCGTGTTGTCCAATTATTTTACTGTCAAGAGCTTTGCCCACTCTTCCGTTCAGGTCGCCTATCAAGACTATTTCTTGTCTATTTTTCGTCTTATCTAATTCCTCAGAGAGTTTGTCAAAAAATTTGTCTTTTGTGTTTGTATCTGAGTCGTCTGTGGGCGCGTAGATACCGAATATTTTAATTTCTCTTCCTTTTATTTTCATGTCAACCGTTATGATCCTTTCGTCAACTGGGTTCCAGTCCATTATGAACTTCTCCATGACCTTTTTTATTGCAATAGCTACACCAGCTTTGGCCCGTTTCGATTTTTCTACTCCACTCCAAAAGCATATGTACTCATCTTTGTAGCCGTTTCCTTGTCCTTTCTTCTTTGTTTCGCTGAGTACTGCTATGTCGATGTCGTATGTGTGGAGTTCTCTAAATACTTGATCATCTTTAGTGTTTAGTCCTTGCATATTCCAGCATCCAATATTCGTTAACCGTTTTCTTTGCTTTTGTCGTTTTCCGTGTAATCCGTCCGAATTCCGAGGCTGCTGTATGGGTTCTTTAGCAATGCTTTTTTTTCCACAGGGTGGGGAGCCAACCCGCCGCTACAACCCTCCTCCTTTATCCGGGCTTGGGACCGGCACTGGCAGAAGAAGTAGAAAATACAGATGGATAGATGCTTTATTGTCTTCCGATGATAGATATGACATAAGACATATCTCTATAAGTACATTATTATGTAAAAAATTTGTAAATATATTTAAGTATAAATACACAAATTTGTCGAAAAAGCAGCGGTTAAAATGGAAAGAATCACAGTTAGTGGGAAAAGGACAAAGGACGCATGTGCGCTCGAATGAGAACATACACTAAACAATCAGATACAAAAAATAAACGGAACAAGATGTATAAGAAGTAAGTAGAATAACAATAGAAAAAATAAAAGGTACGTATACTAAGTGAGGAAGCTCCAGTCGATCTCCTGTGTCACTGTGAAGGCCTGGCAAGGCTACGGTTTCAGATAGTAGGAACCACAGGTCCAACAGCGGAAAGCTGTATGAAAGGCCACATGTCAAGGCTATGGAGTCTGATTAAAGAATCATGGCTAGAAAGTATATTAGGGGGTTCACAATAGATCCACTTGGGTCGTAGTGGCGATAAGGTTGGCAAGCTAACCTCTTTTCCCTGTAATCTGTAAATGCTAGCTGTGAAAGACTTTCTACAAGTAGACTCCACACATTTCGCACTGGGCAAGCCAATCTTAAACGCAGCTGCTCTTATATACGTATACATGATTTGGTTAAAATAAAGCGCCATTGTTTGCATTCAGTTTAAATGGTTTTATTTTAATAAAATTTTGTATAAGTACTTAATGAAGCATAATAAGTAAATGATAAAAATTTCAAAATGATTGCACTGCTTTAAAGCCCTTTGACCTTTAATAATGTGTGGATGCACCCTGATGTGCTACGCATTCTCCAACGCGCCTAGGCATGCTTTTGATCAGGTGGTCAATGTCCTCCTGTGGTATCTCATTCCAGGCAACCACCAACTCCTCTCGAAGTGCTTCTAGAGTCTGAGGAGGACGTTGCAAATTAAGCAATCTCCTACCCATCATACCCCACACGTGCTCAATTGGGGATAAGTCGGGAGATCTTGGTGGCCATGGTAACAATGTGACATCATTATGTTGAAAGAAGTCTATTGTGTCTCTTGCAACATGTGGTCGGGCATTATCTTGTTGGAAAGTTGGATCTGCCAGGGTGTCAAGATAGGGTAAAAGATGGGGTTCTAGAACTTCGTGGATATAACGCTGCGCGTTCATGTTACCTCTGATGAAGATTAAAGGTGACCTGGAACCATACGCTATAGCACCCCAAACCATAACTCCAACAGGGTGATGAACATGTCTTTCAACAAAAAACTGTTGATTCCTCCTTTCACCACGTCGCTTTCTAACCCTGGCACGACCATCGTGCATGCCTAAACAAAATCGAGACTCGTCACTAAAGACAATACTGTTCCATTCCTGATCCCAGAGTGACCGTTGTCTGCACCATTCAAGGCGATTACGTCAGTGTTCTCGAGTTAAAGGGAGGACCCAGTGTGGGCGGTATGAAAACAAGCCAAAACTTCTCATTCGTCGGTAAACACTTCGCATGCCAATAGGTCTTCCGTGTTCTGCAAACCATTCATTTGCAATGGACCTGGTAGTGGAGAAACGGTCCCTTAAGGCCAATAATCTTAGGCGGCGATCTTCACGGTCTGTTGTTCTACGGCGGCGTCCAGTGCCCCTTGCTCTTTGCGTACGGCCTTCTCGAAGCCATGCCTGACAACACCTAACCACAGTGTCTACACTTCTTTGCACTCTAACTGCAATTGCCCGAAAAGAAAGTCCAGCTTCCCGAAGTCCCACTATACGGCCCCTATCAAACTCACTAAGTTGACGAAATCGTACAGGTCTCCGTACTCTAGGCATCGTAACCGATCGTAAAGGATGTCAAGGACCAAAATCCGCCAACGTTGATTCTTTACTGCGGCTGAAATATTCATTTTTAGAGCGTTAGTGAATTAAAAAAAAGCAGTATAAAAACCGGAATGTCCAACTGATAAGGCTGAAAATTTTTTCACTTGTTATTTACAGTAAGATAAATACATTCACCAACTTTTATTAAAATAAAACCATTTAAACTGGGTGTTCGGATTTATATGTCAGTATAGTTTTGGCAAAAACTGTGGATATATTCCGTTAGTTGTATTTTCAGGTAGTAACTATGTTTTATACAGGATGGCCAATATATAACTGACTGACTTAAATTGCGCGCCATTTTTGATTCACGCATTTCGGTAGGTGGCGCCGTAGTAGTTGTTTAAAGCACATGCGTATAATTCATCATGAAGCGCTACACGACCCCAGAACGAGTCCGTATTATTAAAACGTTTTACTTAAATAATGAGTCGATTGTTGCAAAAAACTGATAAGGCTTCACTTGTTATTTACAGTAAGATAAATACATTCACCAACTTTTATTAAAATAAAACCATTTAAACTGGTTGTTCGGATTTATATGTCAGTATAGTTTTGGCAAAAACTGTGGATATATTCCGTTAGTTGTATTTTCAGGTAGTACTATGTTTTATACAGGAGGGCCAATATATAACTGACTGACTTAAATTGCGCGCCATTTTTAATTCACGCATTTCGGTAGGTGGCGCCGTAGTAGTTGTTTGAAGCACATGCGTATAATTCATCATGAAGCGCTACACGACCCCAGAACGTGTCCGTATTATTAAAACGTTTTACTTAAATAATGAGTCGATTGTTGCAAAAATTCGGAAGCTACGGCAAGATTTTGGTCGCAATAATATGCCCAGTGTCGACACCATTCCTCAGTTGGTGCGGAAATTTGAACAAGCTGGTGAAATACTCCGGGAAATTTCGAGAGAGTTCGTGAAAGTGTAGTGGAGCGCCCTGGCACGTCTACCAGACATCGTTCCCAAGAACGGGGTATTCGTCGCACGTCATTACGCACTATTTTAAAAAAAAGACTTGCATTTGCGGCCACACAAAGGAAGGGGGAAGATCAAAGAGGGTGAAGGGTGCCAGTTAAAGGGGTACCTAGCTACTGTTAACTGGTATTCGGTTATTTTAAATTGATCCAAAAATTAATTTATGTAGAAATTCTCATAATTATGTTGGCGAGACAAATTTTTATACTACTCGTCGTTTTGGGGGACCTTAGCCTGTAGGTCATAGTCACTGTGGTGTCAGTGTCGGTCGTCAGTCTGTCAGATCTGGCCCAGAAACCAGACAAACTGTAGGGGACATTTTTTTATGTGGCAGGACGAAAGCGAAGAACGTATGTCTGAGCTTACACAAACAAACGTCCACACACAGAGTGTATCAGGGAGGTTGATGAATCAAAACTGTGACCCTCGAAAATAGGTAAAATTAACTATAGGTTATTACAAGTGGACATATTTTTAACCATCCACTAGTGTTACGTAGGTGAACTTGTGATCTTCGTTTCAATGACCGGTACATGTAATCTTTTAGGCAGCGTATTTGTTCAGTGTCTTTTCAAAAAGCTCAATTTAAACGTAAATTTATATATCATTCTTAGACTTGACTGATGTAGTTTGTTTTCTCATTCTTATCTGGTTAAAAGTAATTTTCCATTGATCTACATGTTCATCCATTACCAAACAAATGGAGCAATATTCCGGTTAATACGTGAAATAATGAATTGAAAATGATGTTTCAATTCTCCACTCTTGCCGCAAGCCGTACATTCCTCGTGTTAGTCGATTGGAACATATAAATTGGTTGAAGTTACAAGGAAAATGTTGAAAATCAGCATAGTAGTAGAACGAAATCTGTATATATATATAATATATAATAAATAATAATAATAACTTTTCGATGGTATGGATTGACTATCGTAAGGCATTCGATATCTTAAAAACTAGTGGTCCTATTTGAATTCTGTAAACGCAGGGCGATTACTTATTTAACCCTTAACAGGAAACGTGAATTTTTGGAACACAAAAGGAAACATGCCGTCTCTCAGACTGCGAACTTCAAGATGTTCAAAAAATTAGAGTAAGGCGAAAAGCAAGCAATAACTTCGCTGAAACTGATACTGGATGTTTATTTTATGTGTTTAATACGTAAAATGCTCATTTCAAAATGATACAAGAACATAAAAGAAACATTTTTATTAACTATGCTAAAACCATACAAAAATAACGCTGTTGTTGCAACATTCAGAAACTAAATTAAAACTATGGAAAAGTCTCAATATTTTTCTATTTTCTAGTTAAGTAATGAACAAGGAAAGTATATTATAGTCAATAAATACAAAAAGAACACAATCAAAATTCACTGCAAGTCTCAAACATTGCCTATATTTATGCAGCTAATACATTTGGGTTTGGAGCATTGAAGACATACAGGCTTCCTACATTGTACACACAAAAATTTGGTCATCCGATGGGTCGTTCGGTGACATAAAAAGCAGGCTTTCCTTTTTTCCAAAACCAAATTTTCAGCTTCTGTTGCTGGATGTTCACATTTGCCAAGGATGCGATTTATCGTAAGTCGCAAATCCCGAGGTAAACGGGGACTCTCTAGTCGCTTTTCCATATGCTCACGGACCAGGTTAGCGGCCAACATCTTAGCAAATACCGATTTTTCCTTCTGCAATTCATTTTTCTTATAGCACTGGTGTAAAATATACGAGTTCACTACCGATATATCCAATAGTCGGTAGAAAATAACCAGTGGCCACCTACGCGAACGGCGACTTGAGGTACTCTTCGAACATTTTTCATCAAGAGAATCAACTCCACCTTTATTAGCATTGTAATAGGCTATTATTTCCGGTTTCTGTGTTTCCGGATCACAATATTTTCTGTGGTGCATAGAAGATATGAGTATTGTGGCTTTATTTTTTTGCTTACATGAGACACAATAGTGGAATCTTCTCGAAATCCGTACATTGTTGATCCGACTTCTCTTGATTTGTTGGGTAAAAATGCCGGAGGAATTTCTCTTCTATTTTTCTTCATTGTACCCACATAGGTCAGTTTGTTCTTCAATAGGACATCCATTAATTCTATTGACGTAAACCAGTTGTCCGCTGTAATGTTGCGATTAGTTCCAAACAGAGCCTTCGCGAGACGTAGAACTGATTGTGTGGGTTTGGAATACCGCTTGTGTTCCTCAGGAAGTTCGAAACTATCGGAATCTTTACCGCAGTATATATATATGCGTTATAGAGGTAGCTATTCCTTGCATCCGTCAATGCCATAATTTTTATGCCATATTTGCAAGGTTTCGCAGGCATATATATTTTAAATCGACATCTTCCTCTGAAACTCACGAGCATTTCATCGACAGTGACAGACTGGCCAACTCCGTACACATCTTGACAGTTCTTTATAAAACTATTAAAAGTGAAAGATATTGGTGCTACTGGATCTAGCTTCTTTCTTTCATTCCTGTCATCTGGGTTATCAAACCTTAAGGCTGACAGGAGAATACCAAATCGTTTTATGTTCATGACAGCTCTGAATATATCTCTTCCAGAGCCATCGGTGGCAAAAAGTGTTTCAATGTTCTCGTGGTTGCTGTTGAACACCGATGTATATACTAAGAGACTCAATAGTGCCTTTATTTCGACTAAATCAGTGTCGTTTAGGTTGCTGGTTTGATTTTTGTATCTCTTTCGCATTTCTTTGAGCTTGTGATTGGTCCACTTAACGATATGTACCAACATGTCGTCAGTGAACAAAAGCTGCCAAACCGTCAACGGAGCTGCTTCTTCTCCATATTCATGAGCTTTTCCTCTTAGAGTTGGTACTTTAATGACTATATTGTGCTTCCTTGTACGTGATGATGGTACAACTTCCGAAATATTCCACCTATGACGATTTTTTCCATAGAAATAATTCTGAGCTGGTAAATCCTCTTCATTTCCTTCGGCTCCGTCTTCTGATAACTCACTATCACTTGTATGATCTGATTCCATGTATTCGTCTTCTGAGGCACTGTCTATATCACTAAAGTCACTTCCTTCATCCTCAAACCATTTTAGAACGGTTTCTTCGAACTCCGGATCATCGTATCGTACACGTTTAGAAGGTCCCGCCATACTCGCAAACGCACCTATGCAACACAAATAGCAAACGGGAACGGAAACGTGCCGTCTGACAGACTGCAACAAACTAAAATTGGTCCATATTTTAAGGCACGTTTTGGCTAGACTCCTGTGAATGGGGGTGGGCGATGGTCACTAATAGCTTATGGATTAGATGGGTTTTTACGTCTGTTAGAGGTGCAATAAAAAAAGATACGCTCAGGTATAGAAACGCCGCAGTCTCACAGACGGCACCTTTCCGGTTAAGGGTTTTAAGTAGCTTTCTAAAGTATGACAAAAATTATTTAAAATAATAAGAAGGGGTCGGGGAGCAGGCGGGATGCATTTCGCATAATTTTTTTTTTGTAAAAGTCAAAATATTAAGTTGATGATCTCGAATAAATTGGGATAAGGTAGGATATTATGATAGTATTCTTAAGAGAGACAAAAAAGTCACGCTTTTATTTTTCAAGATCTTTACCGAATGATTTAAAAGATAATGTAGCCAACTTGTGGCGGACGCAATATGATTTATTAAATTTGTCTATCTATTTGAAAAAATAATAAGAATAATTCAAATAAAAAATAAATCTGTATAATTTGAAATTGATATTTAGGTTTTTATTTAAAAAAATATATTTAACAAAATAACAATTACTTAGTAGGTAATGTATGAAATAATAATATAAACTATATTAAAAAAATATACCCATTCTAATCGGAATAGGATTCCTTGCTCGGTGCTGTGTCATTCGTTATTGTACCTAAGTCAATACCTAAATCATCATTTTCTTGCTTTTTTAAATAGTTCTGAACTGCCTCGTTGCATTTCTTATATTTTTTTGAGCTCACCTTTTTTTTTGAGGATATAAAAGGATTAGAAGTAAGTAAAAGAACACGCATTAGATCCTTATTCGTATCTGTTCTTGAACGTTTTCTGGTGTGAGATAATCGACGTTTCCTAACCTCTTTATGGCGAGCCTCAAGCGCATCCTCCGACAGTTCTCCAATGGGCAAGCAAAATGCATCAATTATCTCACACCCATGAACAAGGACCTTATGTACCGTGTTTGGCATGTTGTACCACTTATAAAGGTGGATATACAAATTTCTTGCTTCTTCCAGCAATGACGCAAACTTTTCCATATCAATAGCGCAACCACTAGCTAACACTCCTAAGCTGATCGCAAATTTCTCGATTAATTCCCTGTCAACCCCTGTGATATCTGAACTTGTTTGTGGATTGTGGAAAAAAATTCTGGACGTATTGCCATCATTTGAGGAGCCATACCCGGGTTTTGGTTTGTCAACTATTAGAGACAGCTTGGCTCTGAACTCTGCTTGGATTCGTTTTTTGTTTGCTTCGACTATAGCTTTGTTTTCAGGCCCACGAACCTGCCAAGATTTAATTGGCAGGTAAGCATTCAAAAAAACGAATCCAGCAGTGTAAAGTTGACAAACCAAACCGGTAATTGTCTACGTGAGGAGGATGGTTAATCCCTGCTAACATGTTCATGTCCTTGGGTGTGGCTCCGCAAATGATGCACTTCACAGTTGAATTTGTCTCTGATAGAACGTTTCCAACACTGCCGTCCAACATTGTTAACATCATATCAACTTCAATTATATAAGAGTGCCCTTCTTTTGTTTTAATCTCAAGAGGAATCAAATTTTAAATTTTTGTTATTATTTCCTTTTCCGTATTCCGCACTAAATCAGCATTTTCCTTTTTAAATAAAAACTTGATCGGCCTACAATATAAAGTAGATGAAGGGCTCTCATTTTTCCACAATACCTTATTCGTTTCCATATCAATCAATCTGAGTGGCGTCATTGCTACAAGAAACAGAAATTCGTCGGTGTTTTCTAAATCAGAAAATTTCTGCTTATATTGGCTATGCCCAGAACTGCCATCAAATGCCCACTTGCATATCACTTTAATCCGGCAATCTCTCTCTTCAAAATTTATTATTTCAAGGATACTTTTAGCTGTTTTCTGTACAAGTTCTTGCAAATCAACTTCTGCAGAAATTTCAGTAATAATAAATTGTGAAGGGAGGATAGCATTTTTTGTTTTCTGTAATTCTTTATAACTATAGTCAACGCCAAACAAAGTGGCGTGCACGTCATCACGATAAAAATTCCCCGACCTAATGCCTAGGTTTCTATCACAAACAATTGCTCTATTGCAGTTTCATATTAATGTGATATATAAATTGTAAAATGGTCATTACTCTCTTATTATGGTTAATAGTCATATAAACATTATTATTAAAATATCACATAAGTTGCTTTCTGATAAATTTAGACGCATTATGCGAAATAAAATGTTTTGCAAACGCTCCAATCACTTATCGACATGTAAACGCACTAAACCGATTTCGCAGCGTTGACACATTGTCACCTTGAAACTTATTTAAACTGGGAACTGACATTTGTATTAATTTTGACACTGAATCAATTTGTGGCATTTCAAATCTTTATAAATCCTTTGGCCCCGCATACTGTAAATCAACAACTGTTTGTTTCAAAACAAAATTATTCATTTTACGAGTAGATAAAGGCAATTTTGGTATATAAAGATGCCCAAACAGTTAAATAGTCGGTGTAAGGAACTCGTGGCCTCGTTAATGCACTACTTTGAGCAAGAAAGGGACAACAACGGGCCTTTGTTGCCTTTAAATGCTGTTCAAGATGATAATAATTATATGTAATGTATATTAATAATAGTGAAATTTTATTTCATTTTTTGTAGCGTGTTGCTGCTGCTTTAAAAATCAGTTTAAGGACAGTTAGTCGTATTTCCGAGGGTGTGAAAAGTGATGCAAATTTAGAATCGCCCAAGAAAAAGCGGAGTTATATTAAACGTGTAACCAACACAGCGACATTGGATACAAGTGCCATTCGAGAAGTGATCTATAATATGTATCACAAAAGTAAGATCTTATTATAATAACTTATCAGAAATTTGCATTAATTTGTTAACTAAATTATAATGTCATATTACACATGGTTTCAGAAGAACAAGTTACGATACAAACTTTATGGTCTCGATTAAGAGATAGGGCATTATTTGATGGTAGTGCCACGTCTTTAAGGCGGTTGCTTAGAGATCTTGGATTTAAGTGGCTTAAGGACAATCCGCGACGAGGGCTCATGGAACTACCAAGTATAGCTTTGAAAAGGGTGGAATTTCTAAGGCAATACAATCAAGCCAAGGTTGAGGTTAATATTGCTTATAAACCTAGATATGTAAATAATAAATTTTATTATTTTACAAAAAGTTTGGCAACAATGTAAATTTTTCAACACACCCACCTTGATGACGTGCACGCCACTTTGTTTGGCGTTGACTATAGGAAGGCAGTTCTGGGCCTTACCATTAATAACAGACCTAAGTAGCAAATACTTTCTTACGGATATATCCAAATCTACCATAAGGGCTAAAGATTCAGCTGTACTAAAACTAAAAATTTGTGGCGAGACCTCACTGTGATTGCTTCCAGAAACGACATTTACAGCAAATTGAAGTTTATTTGCAGATCGTTTTGTTTTCTTCGATGCCTCTTCAAATGGCACCCGTGGCCGTCCAACTGAGCGATAAGGAGGTTCTTGTTCCTCATCCGAAGATGTGTTTTCTTCAGAATCATTATTTATTCTATATATAATCTTGTCTAACCAATATACTTGATTTTGTAAAAGTCGATTCCGAGATTGTCCTACTTTCTGCCATTTATTTGCCATTTTCAACCCAAACAACTGGCTGCATTTCATAATATTACTTTTAAGATGTTTGGAAGGTTCATCTGTTATATCAATAAGAGATAATATCTTTTCATAAACCACCTGTTTTCTATTTCCTCTCGGTGCTTCTATCCACACATCAATCAAATCTCTATTTCTGACATTAGCACCATGTCCTAAAAAAAATTATATCTCCCTTAGACGTGGCATGACGTGATTTAAACTTTTTATCAAAACTTACTATGGACAGATAAACAATAAGTCAAAAGTTTAAAAAAAACCAAGAAAATCGGTAATAGTTACTTTAACTTAAAAAATTATCTAATTATAATTATATTTTAAATAAATCTATACATCAATATAATGTACTTACCAGCCTCATTACCAGCCATATTGGAAAAGTTAAAATATTTAAATATTTCGGCACAAAATTTATATCTTTCCCGAGCAATAGAACAGAGAGATTTTTCGCCTTCTTGACAGGTCTCGACATGTCTAACTTTAAAGTTGCTAAAATAGGTGAATCGCAGCCAACTTGATTAAAGTACTATACTTACGTGTTGCAGTGACTATTTATCTATCCAATGGTATAATAAAAGCAACAGAATTCTAATGTCAAAAATTATGTTTTTGAGTAATTTTGTCCATTGGGCGACGTCTCATGAACCTATGATGCGTCTGATGGAATGCCTTTCTGTAGATGATCAAATAGTGAGATGTACTAAACAACCGATGCCGCTCTGGAAGACCAGGTCCACAATCACGTCTGGTGAAACCAAAGTTCGGACAGAGTTGGTACCATTCAGAAGATGGGTCTTCCAAGGGGAATCTTTAAGCCCCCTACTCTTCTGCATCTCACTGCTCCCGGTTCACCCTCGGCCATCCAGGGCCACACCGTTAAAAATTTTAAATGACAGGAGGTATCCAGTAATAGCTTGTTTGAAAGGTCCTTTGAAGTCCTTTATTTTGACGTGAGACTTTTTAAAATCAGTCGATTCTTTTTCGAGAAAATTGGAAAAATCTTTATTTATCTCAACTTGCTCAGATAGAAAACAAAAACACACGAAAATATCACTGTTTATTTCAATAAGTGTTGTCCGTTAGGGTCTGATAAAAGTGCTATTCGTTTATTATTTAAAACGGAAACTACCAACATAAACAGCATTTCGGAAGATTAGACGTAGCAACAACCAAATATTTTGCATATGGAAATAAAACAACACGGTAGATAGTTTTAAATGACCTTATTGTTTTTCGAAGTATTCTCCACGAAGATTAATACACATCTGCATGCGCTCGAACTGGAAAACATTGACACAAACTATAGAGAGAGAGAAAAAACAACTTAGAATATAACACTTATCAGAGAAAGGAAACAATCAATTACCTGTGGATATGCATAAAGTAAAATTTTAGCCATCCGACTGCTTTAAACTCATCTTTAACCTTTTTTTAAAATTGCTTAGGCTATATTCTTTATACTCACTTGATAAGCAGTTATATAGTTTGGGTGCCCAGTACGAGAAACTGCGTGTGAACAATGCTGTCGAATGCCGCGGGATGAGTAAGATTAGTTTATTCCTAAAGGATCTTCGATCGTACTGGCAGAGGAGGCTTAGTTTCGTATAAAGATAATACGGCGCTTTAAGAATAAGGGTCTTATGTACCAGAGTGCCTATCTCTTGCAGTTTCCTCAATTTGTTCATCTTAAACCATCCCGATTGGTCAAAAGCGCTACTAATACGACCAAATTTACGGATTCCATAAGAAAATCTGATGCGTGAGTTTTGTATCATCTGAATCCGCTCGGCATCACGTTGTAAAAGAGCAGGTCCATAAACAGAGTCACCGTAAGATAATTTTGACAGGATAAGGGACTCGCAGAGTTTAAGCTTGAGCTGTGTCGACAGGACACTTCGACTCGGGTATAACTGACGAAGCACATTATACGACGCATTGCATAGTTGGTTAACATGTTTAGTGAAGCGTAGTTTGCAGTCAAACCAGATACGAAGGTTTTTGCATTCGTTTACGAAGGATATGTCTTCATTATTCACCATAATATTAATGCGATATTGATTTTTTTCATTTATTTCGTCGCTAAGATTCACGCGTCCACGTTTCAATTCTCCATACCAACGGGAAATTGTCGACTGATGTGGCGCTTCGTTGCCGAAAACGGACTGTAACTCAGCAAGGCATTCTTGTTGCGATAATTGTCTCTGAAAGTTGTAATAAATTATGGCTGGAAAATGTTCTCGGTTGAGTTCCATCTTTGACTTGGTGACACTGTACGTATTGTTGTGAAACTTAGAATATAAGTTCACTAAAGAGTGAGGTTAAGATTCAGTACTGACTTTCGATCCGCGCGGCCTACTATTTTTCCATATGAAAAACTTAAAAGACATACCCGTAACAACCCGATTTTTTTCCGCATTCTTTCCATCAACACAGATATCCTGGACGAACTGTATTTTCTGTTATATCTGTTTAGATATTTGTTGCTAAGTAGTAGTAGCAGAAAGATTTATTTAGCACATTTAGCTACATAAACAGAATAATTGTAAGCAACTTAGAATTCGTAAATCCAAGCCATATGATGTATGATGTAAATGCTGGGCAAGCTATAATTGTAGATTTAACAAGTGATTCCTCAATTTTACCTTAAATTTTGTAAAAGTCTTCTGGTATTTTATCTCTGTGTATAATTTATTATATTCAATCAACTCTTGATAGAATACAGATTTGTAGCATATGTTATACTTTTTGGTCATTAAATGGAAGTCATCTTCATTTCTGGTATTATGTAAATGATGGTCGGCATTTGGTGATGTTAAATATTTCTGCTGTTCTATTAGCGCACTGATTATTTCCGAAAAATATTTCGATAATTTCAACTCTTTCTGCTGTGGAATATACCATGGCTAATGTATGTAATAAAGCTTTACAAGTTATCTTAGCTACAAAGTTTGGTCAAATCAATCTCAAACTATGTACTAAATTCCTATTTAAAATAAGTACGAGATATTTCCTTATCTTTCTTCAAGAAATAACTTTTTGCCACAAAAAACGCTCCAATAGCTATTTTCAACAACAAAATGATAAACAAACCATGGCCGTAGTGAAGAAAAGCATTTATTTATTAAGTAACTTTTTTTAGTCAAATCTCTTCTGAAAGTAGTACAAACTAATCTGATGTACCTACCTATTAAAGTTTACTTTAAGCTTTAAATCAATAAATCTTCAAAACTACTGAACTGAAGTTCATGTATTTTACATCATTATAAAGGGAATTGAAAGACCTTTAAAATAAGGTATCACTCGACCTCCCTTTCCATTCAAGATTTTAGGGTTGGTGTCAGCCCCGCCCAGGGGGCTGCACGTGCTAACGTGATTTTTTGCCAAACTTGTGTCCCCTCGAAAACAAAATCGACGGGTCTGAGCGTTTTTCCAAAAAAAAACCTGAGCTGCCAGTAAATGCGTCTGTTTCGTTTTCGATGCGCCACCCTGTATATACTTATACTCTGAAATTAACATTGTTTCGCAGAAAAAAGAACAACTCATGATATAATTAAAAGGAGAGATCAATGTTATGCACCCCATTTAGCTTTTTCAGTATTTTTTAAATGATTTCAAATTTCATCTAAATTCGAAGTGTCTATTCCAATTTTCAAAAATATAAACCTTTTTCGTCCTTGTGTCAAAGGTCTATCAGAATCCGAATGGTACATTCCCATCATATATACGTCTCAAAGATTACCTGAGGGATGACAGGCGCTCTGACACAAATGAGGGCTTTTGTTGTGATGTACGAGAAATATGGTATTATCACATTAAAGCATATACGTTATATCGCAAAATTAGACTATCTTACCTACTATTTTGACACATAAATTGAGGGCATGAAGACTAGGTATAGACTTACAGAAGGACGGAGGAAGCCAAAAGTTTCCAGAATGGAGGCAGGATATAGGTAACTATTGCATCAGGAATGCATTTCAGATTCTGCGCATGTGGCATCTTTCTAACGTCTGCATCTCTCTTCCTCTTGCACGCGCACTACATGTCACTACAGTCATGACCTCCTTATCGCCAGTATGTAGTTCTTAACGCGTCTTGCCTTGTGAACGTTAACCTCCTATATCTCTAGTCTTCATGGTTGAGGAACAGGGGTTTCTTGCCTGTGCTACTATCAGAGTCTCCATACGAAATACGGGAAAATACGAAAACAGTGGCGCTACTGCGCTATGTACTGCTATTGACTGATAGTAGGTATATTGAAGACACAGGTTTATGTTACCTATTTTGTATCCATAAGGACACCTCAAGCAACAAGCCTCTCAAGAGCTACATCATTCAACAAACGTAACGTCAGTATGTTCTTCGCTAATTTAACTGCTGTTTACCAACGTTTGAATTTAAAGCCTGGTGATATCTGCAACGTTAATGAAACAAGTATGACAACCGTGCAAGTACCTGATAGAGTAGTAGCAATGTTTATCTGTAAATACAGACCAGATTACTACCACAACATCCTCTCCTACAAGATCTTTGAGGACTGAATGTGAGTCACCTTTTTTTCGGACGAAACATTCAATTCTGTATTTGAACCGGAACTGAGAGAAAACCTCAAAACACCAGAACACGTTCATTCTACAGAAACAAATATGCCCCCATCTTTACACAATCTAAACCTTTCCTCAACTTCATCAGCAACATTTGAAGAGCTAAGACCCTTTCCAAAAGCGGCGCCAGTACTAACGGGTGATTTTTTAAGAGGTATAGGATTTGATTTTCAAAAAAACACAACTAATTTGAAAAAAAACGATTAAATCTTTATTTGAGTCGATAGAACGGTCGATATCATTTAATGTGTAAAGATTATTTCATGTGAATGTTGGCCGCGGCTCCGCTTTAGATGGCCCATGCGCCAGGTCCAATTTTGGCACACTCTCTCCAACATATCGGCCGGTATCTCACGAATAAATTATCAATATTAGCTTCCAGTACGTCAATCGTTGCTGGTTTATCCCTGTAGATATTAGCCTTAACATGGCCCCACAAGAAATAGTCCAACGGCGTTAAATCACACGATCTAGGCGGCCAATTGACGGGCCCCAAACGTGAGATAAACTGTTCACCGAACTCGCCTCTCAATAGGGCCATTGTTTCATGTGCGGTGTGGCATATGGCACCGTCTTGTTGAAACCACATGTCAGCCAAGTCCAGCTCTTCATTTTGAGCAAAAAGAGTTTATCATCGCACGGTAGCGCTCGCCATTCACAGTTACGTTCCGGCTATTGTCGTCTTTGAAGAAGTACGGCTCGATGATGCCACCGGCCCATAATAAGTAGATGGAGATATATTATTTTTACTTTATAAATGAATATCATTACAAGGTGTTTGATAAAAATGTTTACATTGAGCCA